CATGGCTTGGGGCTGACAGTTTTAATGGTCCTAGGGGGCGCTAATACAGAAAATAGGCCACGCCCACAAACTTAAGCTGACCTTTTCTATTGGGGGTCAGACTAGGATCACTCACAACAATGGTCGAGGTGATATCACGATAAATGAAGAAATGAGAGGCAAACGTATTTCCATGGCGTGATGGCGAATTTCGCCATGCTCCCAAAGCCCCGCCTTTTTGCAAAACCTTCCAGTACTGGAGACCAAGTGACCTCAACTTGCCTGCTGCTATTTACCAGAGATTCCTGGTGATTGGGTAAAAGGAGTCCAATAAGGAGCTGTGAAAAAAAGAGTGGCGTGGCGAAAGGTCAAAGTTTGAGGCTTAGCCACGCCCACACCTTTATACTTATTTAAAATCCGACGGTTGAATTTTTTCCTCTATGTCTTAAGACTATATAGCAGAAGTTTGAAAGTGATTGGTGAAAAGGGCGACGGAGTATCACTCTCCAAACAACGTGTGTGAAAACCACTAAATCGCGCACTTGGACCAAAATGGCCGACTTCCTGTGCGACTTTGCACTTGGCTTCAAGAGACTTTTTTGTAGGTCCTGAGACACCACATTAGTGTACCAAATTTCGTAATCCTCAGTCAAAGCATGGCTTGGGGCTGACAGTTTTAATGGTCCTAGGGGGCGCTATTTCAGAAAATAGGCCACGCCCACCAGATGTTCACATCAGATCTTTTGGGGGGCCGGACTAGGATCACTCACAAGAAGTTTCGTGACGATATCTTTGGAAATGACGAAATGGGAGGCAAACGTAAGGCCAAGGCGGTACGCCTGAATTCGCCGCACCGCCACAGCCCCGCCCTCTGCCGAAAACTCCCATAAAGTGACGCCAAGCAACCCCCACTTGTCTTGAGTTACCAGCTACAAATTTGTGGTGATTAAGTGAAATGGGGCAATTTGGGACCTTTCACAGTAAAACTTGATCTTTTTGGTCCTGAGGGGGCGGGGCTTGTGTGATGTCATCATCCGACCATTCAATTTACTTTGTGGGTGGATGACGAATGACCACAGAAAGTTTGGTAACTCTATTCCATTCAGTTATGAAGTTATAGCAATTTAAATATTTTTGGCGAGTAGTCAAACTTCGAGGCCTGGCCCCGCCCCTTCAACATATACGAAAACTCAGAATTCTCATCTCATTTTGTTCGCCCATCCCTTCTTAGCAATTTTACACAATTTTTGAGACGATCGTGCGAAAAATGATCGAGCAATCCAATCAGGAACGGACCCTAAAAACGGCAAAAACTGCAAAAAATCGCCATTTCAACCCAAAATGGCCGACTTCCTGTTTGATATTGACCATGGTTGCAAGAGACTTTTCTGTGCGGACTGTTGAGTACTACAAGTGTACCAAATTTCATAACTGTACGATAAACTAAGCTTTATGGAGAGGGTTTTTTTTCACTTTCTAGGGGGCGCTGTTCAGCCATTTTCTTTGTGATTTTTTTGGGACCTTTAAAATATCAAATTTTTCACCAGGCCTGACAAGTTTGCAAAATATTGTGAGTTTTGGGGTATGTTAAGGTCCCCAAAAAGCCGTTCAAAGCGGGCTAAGAATAATAAAAAATAATTAAAGCTGCAAGCAGCGTCGTTCGGCCCTCGCAGCTCCGCGCCGCTCCGGCCTGGCCGGCAGCCCGGGGCACCAGGGCATGTCTGGCAGAACAGAAACGTCAATCATCCCGTCACCGGAAACAGCAAATCGCCTCCTAGTCCGCACCTCACCCTGACTAAGCATCCCCTCTGAGCTCACCATTAAATTGAATTGTAAGGTTACGGCGTTACGCCAGAATTCGCCATGGCATCAAAGCCCCTCCCTTTCTGGAAAGCTATCAGATTTGAATGGCCATTACAGCATCATGAAGACAGTGCATGACCTAGGTGTCATGTTGACTAAATTAGAGGGGACAAATATGGGCATTTCAGCATAAAATAATAACTTCCTTTAGTCAGGGGGCGGGGCTTAGATGATGTCAGCTGTCCACATTGTCATTGTTTACAGATATGGTCAATGATCACACAGACAAAGTTCGAAAAAGATCTGATCATGCACATGGGAGTTATTAAGTCAAGTAATGGCGAAAGGTCAAAGTGTGAGGCTTAGCCACGCCTACACCTTTCAACTTTTGAAAAATCCGACGGTTGACTTTTTTCCCCTATGCCTTAAGAGTATATAGCAGAAGTTTGAAGGCGATTGGTGAAAAGGGCGAAGGAGCATCACTCTCCAAACAACGTGTGCGAAAACCACTAAATCGCGTACTTGGACCAAAATGGCCGACTTCCTGTGCAATTTTGTGCTTGGCTCCAAGAGACTTTTTTGTAGGTCCTGGGACACCACATTAGTGTACCAAATTTCGTAATCCTCAGTGAAAGCAAGGCTTGGGGCTAATAGTTTAAATGGTCCTAGGGGGCGCTATTTCAGAAATTAGGCCACACCCACATATTTCAGGTGTCTATGTCTCTTTGGGGTCAGACTAGGATCACTCACCAGAAGTTTCGTAACAATATCACGATAAATGAAGAAATGAGAGGCAAACGTATTTCCATGGCGTGATGGCGATTTTCGCCATGCTCCCAAAGCCCCGCCTTTTTTTGAAACCTTACAGTACTGGATACCAAGTGACCTCAAGTTGTCTACTGCTATTTGCCAGACACTCCTGCCGATTGGGTAAAAGGAGTCCAGTAGGGAGCTGTGAAAAAAAGAGTGGCGCGGCGACAGGTCAAAGTTTGAGGCTTAGCCACGCCCACACCTTTCAACTTTTGAAAAATCCGACGGTTGAATTTTTTCCCCTATGCCTTAAGAGTATATAGCAGAAGTTTGAAGGCGATTGGTGAAAAGGGCGACGGAGCATCACTCTCCAAACAACGTGTGCGAAAACCACTAAATCGCGTACTTGGACCAAAATGGCCAACTTCCTGTGCAATTTTGTGATTGGATCCAAGAGACTTTTTTGTAGGTCCTGGGACACCACATTAGTGTACCAAATTTCGTAATCCTCAGTCAAAGCATGGCTTGGGGCTATTAGTTTAAATGGTCCTAGGGGGCGCTATTTCAGAAATTAGGCCACGCCCACATATTTCAGCTGTCTATGTCTCTTTGTGGTCAGACTAGGATCACTCACCAGAAGTTTCGTAACGATATCACGATAAATGAAGAAATGAGAGGCAAACGTATTTCCATGGCGTGATGGCGATTTTCGCCATGCTCCCAAAGCCCTGCCTTTTTTTGAAACCTTCCAGTACTGGATACCAAGTGACCTCAAGTTGTCTACTGCTATTTGCCAGAGACTCCTGCTGATTGGGTAAAAGGAGTCCAGTAGGGAGCTGTGAAAAAAAGAGTGGTGCGGCGACAGGTCAAAGTTTGAGGCTTAGCCACGCCCACACCTTTCAACTTTTGAAAAATCCGACGGTTGAATTTTTTCCTCTATGTCTTAAGAGCAGATGGCAGAAGTTTGAAGCAGATTGGTGAAAATGGCGACGGAGCATCACTCTCCAAACAACGTGTGCGAAAACCACTAAATTGCGTACTTGGACCAAAATGGCCGACTTCCTGTGCAACTTTGCACTTGGCTCCAAGAGACTTTTTTGTAGGTCCTGAGACACCACATTAGTGTACCAAATTTCGTACTCCTCAGTCAAAGCATGGCTTGGGGCTGACAGTTTTAATGGTCCTAGGGGGCGCTATTTCAGAAAATAGGCCACGCCCACCGGATGTTCACATCAGATCTTTTGAGGGGCCGGACTAGGATCACTCACAACAAGATTCGTGACGATATCTTTAGAAATGACGAAATGGAAGGCAAACGTAAGGCCATGGCGGTACGCCTGACTTCGCCGCGCCGCCACAGCCCCGCCTTCTGCCGAAAACTCCCATAAAGTGACGCCAAGCAACCTCCACTTGTCTTGAGTTACCAGCTACAAGTTTGTGGTGATTAAGTGAAATGGGGCAATTTGGGACCTTTCACAGTAAAACTTGACCTTTTTGGTCCTGAGGGGGCGGGGCTTGTGTGATGTCATCATACGACCATTCAATTTACTTTGTGGCTGGATGACGAATGACCACAGAAAGTTTGGTAATTCTATTCCTTTCAGTTATTAAGTTATAGCAATTTAAAAAATTTTGGCGAGTAGTCAAACTTCGAGGCCTGGCCCCGCCCCTTCAACATATACGAAAACTCAGAATCCTTGTCTCATTTTGTTCGCCCATTCCTTCTGAGCAATTTTACACAAGTTTTGAGACGATCGTGCGAAAAATGATCGAGCAATCCAATCAGAAACGGACCCTAAAAACGGCAAAAACGGCTAAAAATCGCCATTTCAACCCAAAATGGCCGACTTCCTGTTTGATATTGACCATGCTTGCAAGAGACTTTTCTGTGCGGACTGTTGAGTTCTACAAGTGTACCAAATTTCATAACTGTACGATAAACTAAGCTTTATGGAGAGGGTATTTTTTCACTTTGTAGGGGGCGCTGTTCATCCATTTTCTTTGCGATTTTTTTGGGACCTTTAAAATATCAAATTTTTCACCAGGCCTGAGAAGTTTGCAAAATATTGTGAGTTTTTGGGTATGTTAAGGTCCCCAAAAAGCCGTTCAAAGGGGGCACGGAATAACAAAAAATAATAATAATCAGAGCAAAAACAAGAGGCCTTCGCAGCGCTTTCGCTGCTCGGGCCTAATAATAAACAGAGCAAAAACAAGAGGCCTTCGCAGCGCTTTGCTGCTCGGGCCTAATCAGAGCAAAAACAAGAGGCCTTCGCAGCGCTTTCGCTGCTCGGGCCTAAATATACAAAAGATGCTACACACTGAACACGTAGCAACATTGTTGATGAATAAACACACCTCAGTGTCTCTCAAAATGATTGTTGTAACGTTGTTTTTAATACTTAGAAAACATTTTTTTTCTGGATCATTCAAGAGTCTAAAGCTTGACAACTCATATCTTTCTCCTTCAGGGATCTGTGCAATGTGTGGAAAGAAAGTTTTGGACACCAAGAACTACAGACAGACCTCTGTGTGACATGACATCGTGCTGGTCCGACAACCGGTCAAAGTGAGAATCGGACAGAAATAAATTTGGTGATGGCTTCGTCTTCTTTTAATACAGTTCATGACATTATTCTGGAGACATTTTCGTAGCCACACACACTCGAACACTCAAAGTCGCAGCTTTTGCTTGCTCTGTATATTTTCCTTTCTAGAACCTTGCTAACTGTTTTAAATGTATATTGTGTTTGAATTAAAGCTTCCAGTCGGAGGAAATTTTGGGAGGTGTGTTTGTTTTTTTGCCTACAGGTAGAACCAAGTCTAATTTTAACCTCTTACGCACACTGTATACCTATTTCCTTTGTGTGCTGTAATAATTGGTTTACTCTGATCTAATCATGTTTGGAAACTGCCTGCCTCTGTCAGCTGTGCACCCCACCCCCCCTTTCATCTGCTGTCAGAGATGGAGTTTGTAGTTCACAGGCCGTCTGATGAACACTTTGATATTTAAAGGACGTGCTCTGCTGCCAGCCCTTGAGTCACACGTGCACAAACATTTTAGAGTTCTTTCAGATTTATGCTGTTTCTCTGTAACATCATCAGTTTCCAGCACACATGGGTGATGGAGGGTTCTGCAGTAGTTGTGCCTGCAGAGGTGATTAATCCAACAGCTTCTAGGCCATTTAGCTGGTCGAGCTGCTAAAATCACATATGTACTTAAAAATTAGATAAACACAAGTTTGAATTATTTTTTATTTCTCCCCTCGATATTCCTCTAATTTTGTGACATGTATTTATGAGAATGCTTTTTAAAACATTTGTTTCACAGCCTTTTTGTGCTTATAAACATGGTAATCCAGCCTCAAAGGTCAACTTTGCTGAAAAAACACTTTTTAATTATAGTTTCTGATTATAATCTGTCACTCTGAAGGTTTCATGCAGGCTGAACATGGAAATAGTCTCCTACACCTATCCCCTGCATTAGCTTCTGATAGAAAATAGATAGTGAAAACTACAATTTGAAAAATAACATTCACTTAACATTCATAGACTCACTCATCTTGACTCACAACAGGGAAGGCTGTTGTTTTAGCGTCCAGAAAACAGAATGTCTTGATTAGCAGAAGATTAGCATTAGCATCTCCACCACACGGCAGAACTCCTCCAGGCTTGTGTTTGTTGAGATAAAACATCAACGTTTAATATCAGTGGCAGTGGTAGAGTCATGTTGCTGTTAGCCAATCAGAGGCAATATGTCCAAATATTTGGAAAAAAGACTCCAAATCCTGCCGTGCTCTGCCGCTTTCTCCTACAGCTGAAGTCTACGTCCTGGAACGGGCACACCGGAGCTTTTTCTCCATAGAGGACCACTTACAAGGCTTTAATTCCTAATAGAGACCACTCCAAATGTATTAAAAATTCAAGTAAACCTGATCTTTAAAAGGGGTTATCGATCATTCAAACCGTATGGATCTCTATTTGAAAATCTCTTTCCTGACCAGGATGTTAGGGTTAAGCTTCACCGATGAGCTAGCTTGTCCGATTGCAGCCAAGACCAAATAATGTTGCTCTTATCCTAAAAAAAAGCTCAGTATTTCATTTCATAAACCTTTAAATCACATTTAGTTTTTTATTACATGTTTTTTCATGATGTAGAATTATTAAGAAATTCCTGCTGGACTTTACCCCTGACAACCAATCAGACTTGATTTTTATGTCCGTTAAACACAAAGACATTATGCAAATTGTATCAGTTCTACCCACCATTTGTAAACTTCACACCCATGAAACAAGGCTGTTACTGAGGTCGTAAAGAATGGGTCAGATATGAATTATAACCGTTACACTGGAAACCCTTTAAGAACTGTGATCGTAAATCTTTTCCTAGGATACCTTGTTAATAGTTTGGTCCAAACTCAAAGAAAGACCGCAGACAGAATTATGGACATCAGGAGCATCCACACCAACGTGTTGTTGGATTTCTGTTAATATTTTAACCTTTTTGGGTTGGCAGGTTTTATCAGACATCACAAAAAGAACCTAATCAAACACGTCAAAGAAAAAGCTGCTGCAGCCTTTTTCTATGTGGAAAGTTTCTTATTCGAGGAAACAAAAATCTCTAAAGTATTTCCTTGTCTTGTAAGATTTGATCTCAGTCTACTGTTATAAAGTGTGAGCAGCTTGTTTAGTGACGTCCCAAGGGGCTCAGTGAGAATACTGGAAGAATGAATGTTTACTGGAAGGAGAGGTTTTCAGGATCCCAAGAAAATGGGGCAATGACCTTTTGCAGCGATGGATTCTACTTTTGAGCAGAGAAACGTGTTCATGATTGTTCATGCACAACTTCATTTGTTCTGAATATGAACAGTAACAAAATTGCATCTTGTTTTTAAAAAACTAGTTGATGCATATGCCCACAAAATCATCTTGCAGCAAACATGCAACTCAAAGATCTAGAAATATTAGAGGAAAACGACAGTTCAAGAGGTTAAATATGACCACTTGAAAAAACATCAGTCCCAGACGATTAGGTTAAGGTAGTGATTAGCAAATATTAGCACATCACCAACTAGACTCTTTTTCAAAGGTGAAAAAAGTAGATTTCTCCTGACTGGCTTTAAAAAAAGGTTTTCAGAGAGCAAACAGTAACTTTCTAAGATGATTTATTTTTCATTTCTATAAAAAACACAATAAAATAAAGTAGAATGTTACATTTTCTGATTTAGTCAAATATTTTCATGTCTTGAGTTCACAAATCTGAACATAAAACAGTCAGTTTCATGTTTTTTTTCTTTTGAGCAGCCCTGTATGATGAATGAGGAAAGAAAAAAACATGTTTGGACAAAAGGCTGATTTTCTCTGTATCTTCTAAAACCTTTTTGCTCGTCTTTCTGAGCTCAACAAAAATATTTTCTTTTGGAAATGAGTAAAAACATCATATAACTGCTCAACAAACCATTCTTCATCAGCCTGAGTCACACACAAGCTTCTGTACGCACGTCTGTATGAGCTGCTTTTATAAAGATGGAAAAAATTGGAACCAACAAACTTCATAATCTCAACATCGCTTTATTTAAGCCCCTTCAGAATAAACAACAGCATGTTGATCACAAATCTACATCAGTTAGCTTGCACTTTCCAGATATAATCATTTGACTCTTATTCTAAAATGTGGCCATAGAAACAATTGAAAAATGTATTTATAAATGATACACATATATAGTTTGTTAAATCGTTGGCGTTATTGAAGTCTAAATACAATATTAAGGTACGGAAATAACACTTTGGAAAAGCACCACTGAAATTCCTATCAGGAAAAAACAAAAACCCAGAAATATCAAATTCTCTTCAGTTGTCACATTACAATATTGCACTTAGATTACACGTTTAATACCAACAATATTGCCATGTAAAACTAAAAGATCTGTTGAAGGCACCGAGAATCTGATTGTTGTGCTCACAGTGATTTCAATCTAAAATCTTTCAGGCTTGAGGGTACTGAGGTGAGCTGAAGGTCCTGCTGCCTTTCATGGACCCGAGTCATGTCACATTTTACACCTGCAGCTGCTCCCGAGCTTTCTGTGTGTTTGAGGTTTGTTAGGCCCGCATGGCGAGAGCCAGGAACTCCTCCCGGGTCTTGGGGTCTTCTAGGTAAGCTCCCAGCATGGTGCTTGTCACTGTGCGGCTGTTCATCTTCTGAACCCCACGCATCACCATGCACATGTGCCTACACACAGAAACACACAAGAGACACGTCAGACTAGAAGCTGCAGCATCCAACATCCTCAAAGAAAACTTCACAGCCTGGACTGGAGAGAATCCATTTAGAGGCGGACTCCAGCAATTGTTCCACATCTAACTGTGTGTACAAAGTCAGACAGTGAGGAAATGGGAAGGCTGGTGCAGAGAGCGCTTCATTGTCTGTGAAATGAAAATGTTTGTATGAACACTGAGCATCTTTTGTGATGAGTGTGGTTTTGTGCGTGAACGCACGCTGCTTCTATAACCACGGCTACGCCTTTTGGCTGCAGAGCCTCGCATATCCCCAGGGCGATCTGCTTCGTCAGACGCTCTTGGACTGAAACAAACAAGGCAGCACTTTATTGCTCCAGATTTGACAGGATTTAATGCAAACTGGTTGTATCTCTTCTACTGGCTGCCTACCTTGAAGCCTCCGGCTGAAGATCTCCACAATCCTGAAGAAACCAGAGCAGACAACATGAAGAGAACTGATTATGATCACTCGCAATAATGATTAATCTGTTCATAAACACAGACTGGCATCCGTCCCTGACCGCTGTCCTTCAGCCAGGCCTCCCAACTTTATAAACTCATCCTCTGTGAATCATTCACCATACAGGATTCCCAGAATGCACTGAGAAAGATGCACCAACAGGCAGTTCATCGACAAACAGCTGAGTTCGTGGGTTCACATCAACCAAAGAGGCTGTGATAATAACTGAGGATTCCCACATGTCTGAAAGGATTTTCTCATGGCTCGATAGCGTTTGGACCTGCGTCTGACTAGAGGATGGCCAGTGGGCTCAGACTCTAAGCCTCCAGGTCAAAGCCCTGAGATAACAGAAGAATCCGTTCACCCGGCAGTAACACCTAGAAGCACACAGCCTCTACGACAGCAGGACAGGACGGTTGTGTCATGTTACCTTGCCAACTTGCTCAGTCCCACCACTTTTTTGTTTGGAATGTAGCCGACGTGAACCTACAGAGAGATGACGGTGGAAGCAGAGGTCACCGCTGAGATCTACCGCTGAGGAAAGCTGAATGTGGTGTTTGATTTGTGCACAAACATCACCTTTCCAAAAAAGGGCACCATGTGGTGCTCGCAGAGGGAAAACATGTCTATATCCTTCACAATCACCATCTCGTCATGGTCCTCGTCAAATATGGCATTGTTGAGAACATCTGGTGGGTACAAAAACACACAGATGTCAAATAAAAGCAGAACAATCTACTCATTTATATCAGCTGTCATTACTGATTATTTTATTGTTTTAAACAATAAGAGATAAATATCTAAAACAAGACAAAAAACCTATAAACAAACACGATTTGTTTTCCTGTCTGGTTCTGGTGGAGGGCTTTCCTTCAGACCCGTGTTTGCTTCGATTTGTTTGAGTCTTGAACTGGTGTGAAACATTTCAATGGAAGGTATTTACATGATCTTCTTTAAAAAGCAAACATGTCTTCTACCTGTTTACATCCAATATAACTGTTGCTTGCTGCAATCACTTCTGTTTTTCAAGTAAAGATATTTGCGTTTTTCAAACCGTGTTTATTAATAGATGTTTATTTTAATTGTAATGTGGCTGAGCTAAACTGAACTCCAGCTGCTTTTATTGTTTACACCTCCATGTTTAGGAGCCACAGTCACATTTCTTCTCCATAACTGATGGTTTTTCATGCATACATACGTGATCCTGCAGGACTCACCCTCTATGGTCTCATGGTAACCCTTGGTGAGGAACTGGATGGCCTTGGCGGCGCGCAGCGGCGTGCGCAGCAGCCCTTCCCGGTCCGTGTCCTCCCCCAGGTGCCGCAGGATGCTGGTGTAGGCGGCCTCCAGCGCAGGTAAGCGGGACACATCCTCAGACTCCTTGCGGGACGTCTCGTGCTTGCGGTGCACGACGCCGGACTTCTTGGCGTCGATGATGAGCTCGCTGAATGAGTTGTTGCAGTGGAACACCTCCACGGTCTCTCCGGCCTTGCCGTTGCAGTGGGAGTTCATGGTGACTGGGAGCAGAGAGGAGGCAGAGGCGGTGCTGAGGTGGAGTTGGGTAGACCTGCTCCGGGTCGCTCTGCTTTTTAATGAGGGCTGTGGGAGCGCACCGAGCTCCTATTGGTCAGAGAGCTGCATACGTCAAAAACACATCAACGGGGTCATCACGGACCCTCTCCGCCCGAATTCATGAGTATCTGGCATCACTTGACACTTAATGCATTAAGCGGATCTCCAACCCATTTGTTCCGATTATGTTTCGGGACTTCAATACACAAGCTTCTTTACGAGGCTCATGACATGGTTCTGCTTTTATTTTTGGTTTGCGGTTGAAGCTTGATTTGAGTTCTTTCGAGCCATGCAGGTTGTGTAAGAGGTTTCACACTGCCAGGCACTCCTGACCGAAATTTATCTGTGAATAATTAAGAATAAAAGAATAACTGATCTGCAGGAGTCATTAAAAAAACTTTCCAGATTACAGACCTTTCTGAGTGCTTCCAGGGACCGGCTCCCTTTGTTCATAATGTAATGTGGAGATGGAAGATGATAGTAAAGGTTAGATTGAAGTGTGGAAGAAATTAGGGAAAAGATCATTTCAGGAAAATATTTCAGAAATTTGGGAGATGAAGATTTACTTTGCAGCCATAGCGAAATATTGATATTAGACAAGAACCCAAAGTGTGACAAAATCTCCCCCATACCACCACAGCAGCATCAGCAGCCCGAACTATAACACATGCACCTGCTTTCATGTAGTTGACTCCATATTCTGACTCCATGGATGTTGGAGTGTGGTCATCAGGTACAAGTCCATATTTTAGGGCAGTGAGGGCTTACTAGCATGCTGGAGATCCGGCCCGGATCTAATCTGGGTTATGGCCATCCCCACAAATGACGAGGAATTCGATTACAGTTTTCCCAGTTGTTTACACAAGTTTTTTGAAAGCATGCCCCATATTGTCAGAACTCTACACACAAGTCCAAAAACACACACAATGGACAAAACCCTACAATTCTCCAGCAAAAACCCAACTCTACATTCTAAACAATGTAATTTCTTCTCAAAATGAAGTTTTGTTTCCAAATGACACACAAACCGTCACATATTTATAAGAGCCAGTTGAGCACTCATGTGTAATGTAAAACACTATGACCACTTCTTCTTCAGTCATCACAAGAAATTATTGTAAACTTTTTTGTGTTCAGTGCAACACTGTATACAGACAGTAGGTCTACATAAGTGCATAGCACGTAAAATATCTCAGTGTTTGTATAGAAAACACGCATGTTACCAATTTTATTTTACTGTTTTTTCCACACATAAACAATGTACACGATATTTTTCCAAACCAACATAAAGTTGCGTAGGCAGTGGTCTACACATACAAACAGAGAAATTTACTGAATACATTTAGTCAACACAAACAAACCAGAACAAAAAAACAACTGTGCTGCATCCTCTCCTGTTTCCATCCGGCCACAGCTCCTCATCCACACCAAGCAGAACAGGAAACTTTATTTGTCACCAAAACGGTTACATAAATTCATCCTATAACATCCTCATTCACACTCACATATAACAGTAAAGATCATAAGACTGTAAATATGTAAAAACACACCTACCGATGCTTACAGTAAGTTTATGGGTTCCTGAAGTTTCCTACAGTTAAGGGCAGTGATTGCAGCAGGGGAAATATCACTTAGCATGGCCAATCCAGCCACAAATAGCATCAACTGTTATATCTCCACATGCTTCTTTCATAGCTTGGAGGAGAGGCATGATTTCGGTCATACACTTTCCATCTCCACACAGAAAAAAATTCCTCAATAGGAACCAGAACCAGTGCAGCCTGGTGGAAATGATGTTGTCCTAAATGATGACAAACCTGAGTTGCTCTGGGCAATCGGTCTGATCTGGTGGAAGGGTTGTGTTGTGTAGGATGTCCTGGAACGTGATCAGTTGGGCGGTGTTGTAGGGGCCAAAGGTAGCATGGTGATGGGTGACATCATGGTTGGAAATCGCTGCTCTAACTCCTTAATTGTAATTAAGTGTGACATGTTTCCCTTTTGATGAGTTATTATGTAAAGTAGGGAAACTGACTTCACAGTTTTGAATGACAGTGTGTTTGTTGTGAAAGAGATTTCCTTCATGACATTTGTGCCAAATGAAAAAAAAATGTGTGTAATGTTTTGACAAAAGTGTGTTTTAAAACTGCAACGTAAGTGTAAAGCAGAGACTGTGTAGTTTAGCAGCATTGGTTAACCCTTTGACACATGAATTATGAAATCTTCAACCATGATTTTTTTCATTCATTTTTAGGTGTGAATGAAACAAATTTCAACAAATATTTTTTGTAACATTTAATAATTTACAAATAATTTATTACATGTCCACCTCAGTGGGCAGCGTGCATTCTGAACATGAAATATGTTGGCTTGACTTACTGAAGTCCAAATGGAGGGGCTCACATGCAATAAAGTATTCAAAAGCTGTGCAGTATTCAACAGCTAATAGCAATGATAATAATAATATTAATAATAATAATAATAATAACAAATTTGAGTACCTGTCCACTTGTCATGTTCTGTGTCCCTTTGTTCCCCAGCCCCTTCCTGTTCCCACTCTAGGCTCCCCTCTTTTGTCCTTCTAGTCACTCCCTGGTTTTTCTAGTTGTCTAGTTTTTGTTAGTCCTCTTCACCCATCTGGTTATTAGTGGTTTATTTTTGCCCTCTGTGTTTTAGGTTTAGTTAGATCCATGTTTTATAGGTTAATGTTTATCTGCCCTCCTGCCAAGCTCTTTCCCTGCCCATTTAGTTAATTGATTCCACCAGTTTCTCCTCAGCTCACACTCCTCGCACCTGTCACCTGTTTCCCTGATTACCTCCCTCTGTGTTTATAAGCCTTGTCTTGTCACTCTGTGGTTGTTGGTTCATTGCATTTGTCAGCGTGTGTTTGTCCTCATGGCTTCCTAGTATGTGCTCACGAATGAGTTTCTGTTCTGTTCTGTTCTGTTCTGTTCTGTTCTGTTCTGTTTTGGTAAGATTAAGTTTGGTTTGTTTTTTTGGGGCTTTTGGACTTTGGCACATCCTCCTTTAAAGGATTTTCTTCAGAAGACCTCTCCTGCCTTGAGTCGTTCTGGGTTCTGCATTTTGGTTTCCACCTCCCCATCCTGACTGTCACAGCACTGTAGTGACCATTATGCATCTAAGGGTTAAGGGAGTTGGCACATCAGTCACATGTTGTAGTCATCGTGTCAGACGTCGAAGGAATTGTTGTGTGAACAATTGTGACAACTTGCGTCTTTCCAACTGTTAAGCATGAAAACGGATGTGTTTGGGGTTTTTATTTCAAGCATAGACAGCCATCCATGATCTGAGCTGCTTCATTCACACCTAGGGACAATTTAGAGTCTCCAGTGAACCTGACAGCCATGGCCTGCAGGAGGAAGAGGGAGTGCCCAGATAAAATCCACGCATGCAATGGGAGAACAAGCAGAAAGACCACAGCCAGGGTTTGAATTAGTGACCTTGCTGCGAGGCAACAGTGCTGCCAACCTCACCACCGTGCAGCCCAGCAGTTACATTTTAGTGCTTTGGAGAATAATGGATTCAATACTGTCTACATCTAAACTCCCTTTCTTTCTAATTTGTAGAAACAGAGCTGAAGATTGAAGAATGACTGAGTCAAAACGATCTTTGGTGTCCACTTTCATATCCATCTGTTGATTGACTTTTTAAAGGTTTTAAGACCAAAGCTGTCCCACGTATCGCAGGTTTTCTTTAGCCTCCATCATAATACCACCAACAGTTTTACTGGTGGAAGAATGCCATGGTCATGTCTCGATTCTCGACAAAGCCGGTTGATTTCTGCTGGAGGAAGTGAAGGAGAACTCTTGAAGATACATGAGATTTCACGAACTCAGAAATGTGGACCATTCATTCAGAAGTAGGAGCCATCTCAACAGCGGAACTAACAGACACTAAATCAGAATTTTCAATCATTTTAATGAAACGCCAAAAAAAAAATAAATCTGATTTTTCATTCCAGCAGTAGCTCAGGAGGTAGAGTGGGCCAGCAATAGGAGAGTTGTAGGTTTGATCCCGGCTCAGAATGCTGCTGTTGTGTCCTTGGGCAAGGCACTGCCTGCTTGTGGTGCTCAGAGAGAAAGGTGGCTCCAGTGCTCGGCAGCCTTGCCTCCATCAGTGCAGCCCTGGTGCTGCAATGTAGTTCATCACCACCAGAGTGTGTGCGTGGGTGAACATCTGTGTTGTAAAGCACCATGGGGGTTTTTAGGACTCTAGAAGGCGCTATATCAGGCTATTTACCATTCCTCCAACATGTATTTATGTTACTCATGCTGAAAATCCACCTTTAGTATTCTCTGTGGTACACTCAGGAAACTAAATCACGAAGCAATAAAAAGCGGAGATGCACACAGAAAATGTCGAGCACACTTTGTATAAAACACAACCATAGCGGCTGAAGTCCTTCAGCATCCTGATGGAGGTTTGTGGTCACCAACTGGTGTCACAAGAAATCAGCTTGATATTTAAAACTCACCAGCGTCACACACACACACACACACACACACACACACACACACACACACACACACACACACACACACACACACACACACACACACACACACACACACACACACACACACACACACACACACACACACACACACACACACACACACACAGGGTTTGGTAAATTGAGCGCTTTAAGAGCTCAATAGATATATTACCTCTACTTATGACCAATAAGCTGTGATACTCTATATAAATATAGAATATCAACCTGCTTGGTCTTTACGGTGTTTAATCAGAAGATTCTAGGTTTCTTTGTTTATTCAGGGTTTGTAAACATTTAGTTTTGATTCAGGAAAGAGTCAGGTTTGTAAAAGTAAGAATTTAATTAACAAACAATTAAAACATGACAGGTTAACTAACATTTACTGTGAGTGGATGGATCTAGATGGAGCAGGTGTAGTGTATGGTGCCTATGTGTGAATGTGATGTTATCAGAACTTCCGTATCTAGGAGAGCTGAGTTCTGGATGTAAGAGAATTTGGTTTGCGATGAGCTAAGAAGTTGATTATTATCAAAAGGCATCAGACGCTATCTGTGTGTCTACTTCACCCGTTCTCTAAGACCCTCATCGTGGATCCAAAGGTCAGAGAGGTCGGATGACCTCTGGCACCAAGGGCTGTAGAAACCGTAGTACTGACTCTCCAGTCCAGAGATGTCTCAGGTCAAGACAGATGGATGGAACCGCGCGTCTGTGACTCTTTAAGGAGTCGGAACAATATTAGCTTGTTCTGCAGGGACTGTTTGCTGTATTGCTTCGCAGGTGCAAAAAGATTTTGACGGCGTGTCAAAAGCTTTGATGGGTTAGGGAGGTTTTGCTTCAGATGGCCGGTCTGAAGCTTTCTCAAGAACTGATGGATCACCGGAGTGATTCGGTTTTAATGTTCTCATGTTATGATTTGTGTAGCCAACCAGAGGTTGACATGTTGAGGAATATTACCAAGACAACCTCAGAAACACGCCTTCCTTGATACCGGATGCTCTGATCTGGGGTAAAGGACTATCTATGTGTCATGAGTTTAACTTAACTTTATTTTATCCTTGTGTGAGTGCAAATGGTTATGACCTTGTCATATAAACATGCTGAAACATATATAAACCTTTCAATGTAATCCTAACATAACATTCATTTCAATCACTCAAGCACAGATTAATGAAACATTTCATTATATTATAATTATTATAAGTAGCAATAAACAAACGTTTATTTAATGATTATTTAACTTGTGAGATTTAAAAGTTCACAATTGATTTAAGAAATCATTCTTTGATTTAGCAACTAATCCGAGCTGCGAATGTTCCTTATTCAGAGGCATGAAAAATCCTGTAGGACGATGAGGGAAGCTTGGACCTTGAAGAGAGAACATCATTGTTGACATTACGTTATCACGTGTTCAGAGCTGCAGAGAGGCTCTGAGCTCCAGCTGATGGGATGAAGGCAGGCCGATTTAAAGGGAACACATGCAGTCTCGTGTCTCCATTTTGACCAGATGTTGAATGGTCAAACTGTACCTAAAAAGAACACATATATTTGAATAAAATGGCCATCATGTAATCGTGCCATTCTGAAGAAATAAATGCATGCATGCTTTTACTCAAAGTGCACTTAGCAAAAGGAGTGACCCATTTTCCTGGAAAAGCCTCAGCCTTTATCTAATAACATTAGTAAGGCAGCTCTCCGTGTCTTTTTTCTCTTTAGAAAAAGTACAATATGTGACCTACAGTGCATTCTTCCGCTCACACGTATAATTAGTTTGCTATTGTTCAGAGAAAGACAAAGTATTCAGTTTTTATATGAAAACACAAAAAATCAGCTTCTCAAAAGTTTATTTAGTATATTTTTGTCAATAAAACAACAACAGTTTGAAGTTCCAAACTAAAGTTCAGACAGTAAAGTAGTTTTCCAATTTTGTCTTCATGGCTTTGCTGGATTTATGTTCTATCTTATTCTGTCCGAAGAACACCAGCTGCTAGTTTTTACTTTCCTTGCTATTTGTGGCTTTTGGTGAAAAGCATGTGTCTTGTTAAATATTTATTAGTTTCTTTTTTAATTAGGCCTTAATTTTTAACTAGGCTAAAAGTTTATCTGATTCTATTAATCCTAAATAATATCAAAAAGTGAAGCTCTCGATTTACCGGTCGATCTACGTTCCTACCCTCACCTATGGTCATGAGCTTTGGGTAGTGACCGAAAGAACGAGATTGTGGATACAAGCGGCTGAAATGAGTTTTCTCCACTGGGTGTCTAGGCTCTTTCTCTTAAAGAAAGAAGGTGAGAAGCTCGGTCATCCAGGAGGGGCTCAGAATAAACCTGTTGCTCCTCCATCTTGAGAGGAGCCAGTTGAGGTGGCTCGGGCATCTGGTTAGGATGCCTCCTATAGCCTCCCTGGTGAGGTTTTCTGGGCACGTCATACCGGGAGTAAGTAAGTAAGTACATTTTATTTATATAGCACTTATCACAGACAAAGAATGACAAAGTGCTTCACGTAGATAAAAATAGAATAAAACATAAAGTCATAAAATCATAATAATCTCAATGACCTAGAGGACACACTGGCGGGACTGTGTCTCTCAGCTAACCAGGGAACACCTTAGGATCCTCCCGGAGGAGCTGGCCCAAGTGGCTGGGGAGAGGGAAGTCTGGGCCTCTCTGCTCAGGCTGCTGCCCCCGCGACCCGACTCAGGATGAGCGGACAATAATGGATGGATAGTAGAAAAGTTTAATTGACAAATGGTGAGATTCAATAAAGGTCAAGAGACAGATACATGTCTTTGTGTTGTTAATTTCAAAGGCAAAAGTGTTCACAGTCTTTCTCAAAACAAGTCCCCAGAGGTAGCTCAGAATGAGAGAAAACACACAGTTACAGTATATAGTCCCGCAAACATGGACCCTCCATTTGGTGGAATCTGTTCTTTGGATGTGGACAGGTAACTGCATCCTTGTTGCAGGGCAGAAGAGCATGTTTTTGGTGCATCGTGTTTCTGCAGGTGAGTGCGGTCAAAGACAGGAAGGTCTATTCCCCAGAACAAGGTGCTTTGCATTCCTAGCAGGGTGTATATGTCTGCAGGTTCATTGTTTGGTAATCAGTATGGAACAAATATGTTACATTCTAGTTGTCTGAGCAGTCAAACAGCCTAAAAATGGAACAAACACATTCTGTTCTAGCTGCACGTCAGTCAAACAGTATATGTATAAAATTTAGTTACAGACACACACTAACAGTTTTAAACATGGAATAATTCTAACAAACAACAAATACTAATGTTTTCGTACAGTGGTAAACAATAGATTTTTTTTAGTTGTCCTAAATTATAAAAAGTTTTGCATTGGCATCAGATGACGTGTCATAGGATGTGATGTCACTGCCGTCGCTCGATCATATTCAGTCTAGCTAATCGGGGTGTGATGTAGGTGCTGTCCTATAACAGTGTTTGCTGGCTGCATCTAAGTTAATAAATGCACCTGATAAACCATCCTGTAGGCATCTTTGACATGTCTTGATAGTGGTGGTGAATGTTTGTTTTGCATGTTTTAATGCTGAAGCCAAGTTCCTGAAACCTCCATGCTAGATGTGAGACGAATCATAAGAAATCAATGCAACAACATCAGTTATGTCACACAAGTAGCTGAAGGGAGGTGATTAAAGTAGTTTCTTGATTCTATTCAGGTTTTTTTGTTTCAAAGATGTGTTAAATAATAGGAGCACTTTGTTTGTTAATGCTTAATAATGCACAAATAATGTTAATAAAGTGACCCTTATTGTAACGTGTTACCATTACTTATGATATATTATTTTCCACATAATCACTTCAGAAAGTTGGAGCTGAAATAAAAGATCAGGTGTATTTATTTATTTATACATATTTTCTTTGAATTTAATGTTAAATAAATGTTTGGGCCAAATAAATAGTTGAATTAAACAGTCATCATAATACCTCCATTATCTCTTTGAGTTATGTATTCTTATTTACGCTGGTTATTATAGATGACGGTAGTGCACATTTGTGCCCATGCTCCCTTTGAAATAAAACCAACGAGGAAGAAGACGGGGCTCGGTTCGTTCCATGGTTCCGGTTCTAACGTTTCCATGGGAACAGAGCTTGTGGCTACGCAACTTCCTGTTTGGCTCCGTGTTTGGCGGGATTTTCCAGCATGGCGGTGCAGCCGAAGCAGAACCTGTCCATGGACAGCGCGGCCGAACACGGCTTTCTGAGCTTCGTTTTCTTGATGCCGGAGAAACCGGACACTACTTTTAGGATATTTGACCGAAACGACTATTACACTGTTCACGGGAAAGACGCCATATTTGCTGCGAAGGAGGTTTTTAAGACGAATGGGGTCATCAAGTATTTAGGTTCAGGTAAACATGGTAGCCGTGCACCAACAGACTGGGTTAAAGCTGGTAGGAGGCCACAGTTAGGATATAGCAAGCTATGCTAGCTCTCTGTTTAGTACTAGTAAGATTACATTTGTTTTTAATGTGTACAACGCTGTAGAAGAGTACTCCGATGGATTTTAGTGCGTAAACTGTCTAAATGACTAATAATTAAAAACGTGCGATGGATTTCATCCAGTTTGTTGGCTTGTTTTACCAACAGGAAGTCGAAAGTTGGAGAGTGTGATCCTGAGCAAGCCTAACTTTGAAGCCTTCGTGAAAGACCTGCTGTTGGTGAGACAGTACAGAGTGGAGGTGTACAGGAACCACAGCAAGAGCAGCAAGGAGCAGGACTGGAGGATCGAATACAAGGTAACTGTCCTGGGACTGCAGCAACATGGGGAGGGTCCAGTTCCAGGTACGGGAGGCTAAACTAACTTCTGAGGGACAAACATGATCAAAATAGTCTTTTTCTGGGTGGAGCTTTTAGGAGCAGAACATTTGTCATTAGTGGGTTCATTCAGGCCCGGTTTGCAGCATCCAGTCTCACTCAGTCATTTGTGTCCAGTATTCATTAAATAATGAAAATAAAGGAGTGATTCTAAACAACACGTAATGCAGAGACATGAAATCAGAGATGTGCACATATTTCAAATGAAACATACTGCACAGAGAGTAAGACATTGTGCTTCTTTCTTTCTCCTAACTCAGGCCTCTCCAGGGAACTTGACTCAGTTGGAGGAGGTTTTGTTCAGCGGGGGAACCGGAACCGAGGGCTGCGCAGGAGTTGTTGCGGTGCGATTCGCGACCGGAGCTGATGGACAGCGTGTGGTTGGCCTGGGCTACGTGGACGCAGCACAGAGGACTATGGGAGTGTGTGAATTTCCAGACAGTGAGATCTTCTCCAACCTTGAGTCCCTGCTTGTCCAGATCAGCCCCAAAGAGTGTCTTTTAGCTCCGGGGGAATGCAGCACTGATGGAAACAAGCTGCGGGAGGTATGTGCTGGTGAGACGTGTCGGTTTTACTGCACTCTGCTCATGTTTCTGTTTATTTGGTAGGCGCTTTCATCAAACGTCACTTATGAAAATACATGTTTTGGGTCTGTATGCAGAAAGGCAGCAGCTGGAGTTTGATCCTGCATCCAAGGCAGCAGCGCTGCCCTAGCCTGGCAAGCCAGACTAAATAAATGTATTATTTAGTCTGGCCACGCTCCATTGACGGCTCTCGGTTGTGGGGCAGGTTCTACCGTTGTCTTTCAAATGATCTCCGCATGCTACTGGACAATGAATGTGACATACTCTTGTTTCACTCTGTTGCATCATCCCACCCACCAGGCATATAGAGTGCCCTGATTGGCCCACAAAGCGGATAAAGCTCTGTGATTTGTTCACTAAGCAGATAGAGCACTATGATTGGCCCACCATTATGGACCAATCACAGCTCTTTATGTGTTTGAAACCCCTCTAGAGAGCTGTGATTGGCTAGCCAGAGTCCTGGTAGGAGCTGCGGAGGTTCCAATGGAGCATGCCTAGACCATTCTTTGCAAAGCAAGAATTTGGTCCAGTTCACTAGGCTAGCATCTGCCCTTCATGTGCCTTCATCTTTAACTGTAAATGTTCCTAAGCCTTTGTTGTGTTGGTGCAGGTGGTGCAGCGTGGTGGTATGCTGGTGTCTGACAGGAAGAGAGCTGAGTTCAGCAGCAAGGACATTGTTCAGGATCTCAACAGGCTGCTGAGATCTAAGAGTGGAGAGATGGTGGCGAGCAACACACTACCTGAGCTGGACAAGCAGGTGACTTTTACACTGATAATGACCCAGTACAGTTACTCAGCTGGAGCATTCTGACCAGCATCAATTCAGATGAGTCCAAATTTGTCGATATTTTAAAATCTGATCATGCATGAAAAGTAGATTAGCATCTACTGAAAGAGTTCACATGATACATAAAGTCTGCAAGGTCTCAGCTTGTGATCAGACTTCTTCACAAAGTCTGTTGTGGACCTCCTGATGATAACATCAGTCATCCAGATCTCACCAGACCTCCTCAGCATGCCAGGCATTACATCTGAATAGATTTCTGATGATATGTTAGTCTGTTTAAACTAAAGCCTCTGATGAGTGTACAGCTGTACTTGGAGACCGTACCTCTGCTGAGAGCTGCATTATTCTGAAGCAAAGCTATTTATTTAGTTTTTGTGATGCTAATGAGTATTTAATTGACCTAAAGCAATACACTTCTGGGATTTTATAAGTGTAAAATATAAAAAGAGAGTATGTGCTAAATGCATTCATTTATTTTTGGCTTTGAGATTCCTCCTTAGAAGAAGAAGAAGAAAGTATAATTTCTATAGCGCCTCTCAAGTTAAAAATCACGAGGCGCTTCACAAAAACAAAAATGTAAAAATATAAAAAAGAATTTAGAAAATGGTTAAAAATATATTTAAAATGAGCAAAAAATAGACAATTGTGATTAAAAAACAAAATGTTAAGAAAGAGAGAGAGTGAACAGGAAAGAGGGAAATCAGTGGATCCTGAGGAAGGTGGAATAGGTGGGGAGAGAGCAGAATAAAGAGAGAGTGGTGAAGAAGGTCATACAAAAGCCAGCTTGAACAAGTGAGTTTTCAGCTTTTTTTTAAAGGAGACCACTGAGTCCACTGATCTCAGGCTCAGGGGGAGAGAGTTCCAGAGTCTGGGGGCCACAGCAGCAAATGATCTGTCACCTTTGGTCTTTAGCCTGGTGCTGCACAACCAGTAGGCTTTCATCACTGGACCTCAGGGACCTGCTGGGGGTGTAGGGACTAAGAAGATCACCAATGTAAGATGGTGCTTGTCCATGTAAGGCCCTATAGAGCAGAACCAGGATCTTGAAATTAACCTGAAGTTGACTGGCAGCCAGTGAAGCTGGAGGAGAAGCCGGGTGATGTGGGTGTATTTGGAGGACTTGGTCAGAAGCCGAGCACAGGCATTCTGAAGCACCTGTAGACGGTTCAGGGAGGTTCTGCTCAGACACGTGAAAAGAGAGTTACAGTAGTCTAAGCGTGAGGAGATGAAGGTGTGGAGAACTGTCTCAAGTTCAGAGCGGGACAGAATGGGACTCAGCTTAGCAACGTTCCTGAGATGGAAGAAGGAAGAGCGAACAAAAGAACTGACATGAGAATCCAGGGTGAGAGCTGGGTCAAAGGTCACGCCAACATTCCTGACAGAAGGTTTGGTGTGAGAAGCAAGCTGACCAAGAGAGTCTCTGACTTTGGGAACCAGCTTGTCTGGGTCACAGATGAGGATCAGGTCCAGCAGGACCAGAACAGAACAGTCCCCTGCATCACTGTGGTTCAGAAGGTCATTAGAGACCCTAAGAAGAGCTGTTTCAGTAGAATGAGCTCTACGAAAACCTGACTGGAAGCTATCATAGATGCTATGTTCATCAAGAGCAGCTGTGAGTTGTTTAGCCACAAGATTTTCCAATATCTTGGAGATGAACATAAGTTTAGAGATGGGTCTGAAGCTGCTATGGAGAGAGGGGTCGAGACTCGGTTTTTTAAGAAGCGGGTGGATTACAGCGTTCTTAAAGTAAGCAGGGACCTGACCGGAAACCAGAGAAGCATTAATAATGGAGAGCACGCTCGGACCGATGGACTGAAAAGCACTTTTACACAAAGATGAGGGTAAGATGTTGAGGGGGCATGCAGAGGTCTTCATAGAGTTAACTAGTTTGGTTAACTCAGGCAAAGAAACAGGAACAAAGCTATCTAGGATGATGGGCCTGGTTGGAGTCGGGAGAGGCAGCGATAAGGCTGAAGGAGAGATGCTAGATCTAACCTTACTGACAGAAAGTTCTCACAGTCTGCAACAGAGTGGATGGAGGCTGTAGGAGTGGCAGGAGAGACGATACTGCTGATGGTGTTAAACAGCACCTTGGGGGTCCCTTTGCTCTGGGACACCAGGTTGGAGAAATAGGAAACCCTGGCGTCTCTGACTGCAGAGTTAAAGGATGTCAGAAGATCCTTTAGGTGCAGCAGATGGACATGGAGATGGGTTTTCTTCCACAAACGCTCAATATTTCTGCATTGGCACTTCAGGCTGCAATGGCTGTCATTAAACCAGGGAGTAGGGTTCACTGCAGGAACTGAACTGGTTCTGACAGGACAGATGTTGTCCAGAATGGAGAGGCAGTGCTCGTTAAACTGAGAAGTTAAGGAATCTGGGTCGTTATCAGAAGAACAGGGGGGATCAAAAGCAGCAGAAACATTGCTAGCTGTGCTCTCATTAAGAAAACGAGAACTAACCATACGGCGAGCAGGAGGTGGGGACGCAGAAACTGACAAGTTAAAGAAAATGCAATGGTGATCTGAAATATAAACATCCTCAGGACAAACACTGTCAGCATTTAGACCCAGGGTAAAACAAGGTCCAGAGTGTGCCCCCTGTTGTGTGTGGGGCCAGAAACATGCTGGGTAAAGGTGAAGGAGTCCATAAGGCTGGAGAAATTCATGGCAAAGTGATCAGAGGGATCATCAACGTGGATGTTAAAGTCACCAACAGTCACCAGTCTGGACAGCTTCACAGTGGAGGATAGAAAGTCACTAAACTCCTGAAGGAAAGAACTGTTTTGACCAGGTGGACGATAAACTACAGCACAGTAGAATGGGTCCTTACCATCGACATACATATATGGACAATGGGTTTCCATAGACTCCAACAATAAGTTTTTGTACTAAAATGGGAGGTGGCCACCACCGTCATTTTGACCGTGTCACAGGTTCCGTCAAGCCCAGACAATTCCATAAAAGGGAGGAGAGGTGGAGCTGAGGGTGGGGCTGTAAGGCTGGGATCAACTGACGACACCCGGTCGAACTAGCTACTTTCCACGGAGCTAGCTCTGCGGTCACGTGGGTCGGATGCTCATTAATTATACAGAATTTTAGGCTTTTAATACACTTAAACAGAAGAGTGAAAAAAAAATTCACCCCCCTCAGAGTTGTCATGAGTGTAAACTAGATAATTTAAACCAAAAACATGTTCTGGTTCCAGGCTGTAGACATGTTTATTTCTGCTGTGAAAATGGTATTTTTAACATGGGAGTCAATGAGGATTTGCTCGCTTCTGACACCAGCCCCCAGCGGATGAGGGTGGAACTGCAATTTTTGGTATTTCCGGGTTGAGACCAATTTCTGAGCTGCATTGTGAGGGCTTGGTCCTTACGCCCGACTTTAATCAGCTAAAGTTCAAAGGAAGCAAAGTGACCAGAGGTTGTAGAGCTACATGGAAGATGGTCTCTGAAAACAACAGCTAGGCCTCCACCACGACCAGAACCCCGGGGCTGGCTAAGAAAAGAATAACCACTCGGGCAGAAAATCCAGGTTTGTAGAGAGAATTAAATCATTGAGCAGGAAAGGACTTATTGTTAACAGAGCGGGTGTTTAATAGAGCCATGCTGAGTGAGGTGGAGGAATCAGAAACTACAGAAACAGCTGGAGTTAGTGGACGTAAATTAGCACGGTGTTTATAAAAACCACTTATGGAGGGAACAGGAGGAGAAACCATTGAGGAATGAGGATAAACCGACCTTAAAAAACTTGGACGGAGAAACCGCGCGGCAACGCGGCCTGGCGGGAATGCGGAAGTGTCGCTCAAGTCGCCAAACAAAGGACAAGAAGCTAGAAGATCATGCCGATGTTTACTAGATAAACTACGCTTTAAGAGAAGTCTTATTCTCACCTGGATTCCTGCTCGTTTACCTCTTTTCCTCCGACGTTTTCCCGGGACCGGATAAACATAGCTGGAGGCGCGCTGGTTGGGATAGTCGTTTGGCTCCGGGCCAGTGCACCACTCAGGTAAACAAACAGTGAGGTACGTCCTCGGTGCAGACAGGAGCAAGGTGGAAAGGAGGAGGTTAGTGGAGAAAAGTTTGGCCGGTGACTGCGGCTAAGCCAAGCAAAAGTGCCATCTTGTTACCAACCGGAAGTATATCACCTCATTTATAAATTGTGTGACAATCTATTCAACTGTTATGTAATTTACTGATAAATGAGGGTGGGTTTTATGGTTTCCGCATCGTTTCAGATCGACGAGGGGAACAAACACCTTGTGAGGAGGCTTGGGCAGTATTACGGTAATACCGTATACAACACTGTTAAAAATAACAGCAGTATCAGTGACAATACCGTCAAGGAAAAATAAAAAATAAAAACTGTAGTGCAGTTAAGAAGAAAATAATTAAATTTAAAAAATAATTTAATGTGTAAAAATTTATTTTAATTTGTAATTTTCTTTTTTATTTATTAATAAAAAAAATGGCTGACTTTTAAAGACATTCCATAAAGTTTTCGAACATGATGTCATCATCTGACAGCATGGAGGGAAGAGAGACCCACCAAGAGAAAGACGAGGAGAAAGATGGCTGGTCTAAACAACTTCTTCAGTTTGGAAGTATTTCGGGTTCCAAGCAAGAGAGCCACGTTCCCCATCAACGAGCGTTCCTCGTGCGATAAAGATGTGACGAGGAGATGCGGTCCTGTCAGCACTGCAGAGAAACACTCCAGAGCTGAAATAACAGCCTATTTGAAGCCTGTTATTCAAGGAGACGACGAATCACTTTCCTGGTGGAAATATGCTGGTATCTTCCCCAGATGTTGTTACTTGCCTGAAAGCCTGCGTAACTGTGCCACAAGCTCACCATCTGTGCAGGTTTTCAGCACTGCAGGGAAAGTTGTCGGTCCATAACGTGCAATGCTGTACCTGGAAAAGGAAAAATGCTGTTTTTCTTGGTGAAAAATCTTATTAATATACTGCCTTTTTAAAAATGAAAGGTGTTAATAGTATTATGTACGTTTATTGTTTCAGTAATAAATGTTTGGGATTCAGTTTCTGAATGGTGAAGGTAATGTCATTTGAGGCTTATGTCATAAATTCTTAATCAGTAACGGTAGTGCCTTACACCGTGGTAAAATGTGGACAAATGGACAAAGTTTAACGGAATCAAAGTTTGGATGCCACCCAAGCCTACTTATGAGGTTTCAGAGACAAATTACTTATCTAGATGGGTCTAAAACAATTCAATGCAAATATGCATTTTAAATTAATGGATAGTTGATGCAATCAGGATGATGTTTCAGTCTGTTTATGTTTTTTTAATCCTAAATCACCAGAAAAATCCAGTTTTTGTAAGAATTAATTATAAGACAACATTTATATTAATTTGGACATTTACATCTTGATCTTATTTTTATTTGCTGTAAACGTAATGACATTTGTATAATGTAACCATTTCTATAAAGGTCAAGCTGCATTGGGCTCATTTGAACATGGTGCGATTAAACACAGGTTTGATTTAAGTTATCACCTGTGGCTTCATTCACAGGTGGCCATGTCGTGTTTGGCTGCAGTGGTGCGTTTCCTCGAGCTGCTTTCAGACGAGTCCAACTTTAACTCGTTCAGTCTGACCACGCTGGAGCTGGGTCAGTACATGAGGCTGGACAACGCTGCTGTCAGAGCTCTTAATCTCTTCCAGGTCGGTGATGTATCGATGACAGTTGTGTCGTTGGCATGTTTTTGTGTGTTTATGAGTGATTAAGATGGACCCTAAATGAAATGGCATAAACATATTCGCATAATCCCAATTTAATCCACTGACTGCTGTGAACTTGTCAAATAACAAAATGTCTTCCGTAACTGACAACAAATCAATGATCTAATAAAAAATCTGTACATTTTTGATCAAATTACATTCATGATCAAATCTGACCCCATAGCAACAAATGTGTCACATCTGATGAGCTCTGCCTCTTTAACAGGTTTAGTGTTTTGCTCTAAAACTCTTTGTATTAGGTCTTATACGTGTTTTCTGACCTCTTGTAGACGATCTGAATAGTGCAGGTAGCAAGCTCCGATTTTGTTTATTTATTAATGCTGTTGTGTTGTTATCATGGACGTAATTTTCACTTTACAGTATGCACTAATGGGAAACGGGCTTCAACACAAACAGTTGTTTTCTGCTTGGTCCTACAGCTCAACCAGTGTCAATTTAATATAAAGTAATATTGTTTTTGGACGGTAAAAAGTGCAGGGGTCAAAACTTGACTCTGGAAAAAGTGGGGGGGGGGGGGGGGGGGACACGTCCCCCCTTTCCCCCCAAAAAATTACATCCATGGTTGTTATAGAATTTATTATAGTCTGTTACATCAATTTTTATTAATATTTGTTATTGTATTTGGCTTCAATGAGCTATCTGTTTGAACAATCCCCTCCAGGGGTCTCCTGATGACACCAGCGGAGCTCATTCATTGGCCGGTTTGTTGAACAAGTGCCGCACTCCTCAGGGTCAGCGGCTGGTCAACCAGTGGATCAAACAACCACTCATGGATAAAACCAAAATAGAGGAGAGGTAATGACACTTTTCATAATTGGTTGCTGGTCAAGTGAGTTTGTTTCATGTGATGGCAGTAACTCTTGAAGACCTTGACACCATCTTACCCGAATAGGTTAAACTTATCTCTGGCAAACAGAAAGCTCCTTGGAGGTTCACTTAATCAGTTACCAATAAGAAAAGGTAATGCAGGAAAGCTGAATGCAAATGGAGAAAATGTAACCTACCAGGTTACTAACTATAAACCCTTCAGAATGCAGCTCCACACATACAACTCTTAATTGACTCAGTCATTAGTGATATTAACCATTCTCATATTCTGTTAGCCACAGTCAAGAGGCTAACTAATCTCCCAACACAGTAAGACCCTGACTACATATCCCAAACTTTGGCTATGTTCACACACTGCAGGTCTTGATGCTCAATTCAGATTTTTTAATTAAATCGAATTTTTTGTATGGTTGTTCACACTTTACTGAAATGCTCTCAGTGTGAACGGTTGACAGCCCCAAAATGACCCGCATGTGCAGATGACAAGAAGTTACACACAGGGGAGTTGGAACCAGTAGAGTTAGAGTTGAAAACCAATAGCTGTCACCACACACTGGTTTGATGTGGTGAAAATTGTCCATTTGACCCATCCTCGTGGGGAGAAGTGAGCTGCAGACACTATTGTGCTCGGGAACTATTTGGTGGTTTAACCCCCCAATCCAACCCCTTAAAGCTGAGTGTCAAGCAGGGAGGCATTGGGTTCCATTTTGAAAGTCTTTGGTATGACCCAAGATTTTAACTTCGATCTCCCATTCCCAGAGCAGACACTCGTCCACTAGGCCACTGAGCTGGTGAGCTGAGCTGTGATGTGAAGGGCTTCACTGACAGTTCATCCACAATTTCACTATCACACCAGTCAAGTCTCCCATTTTGGGCTGGAAACGGGTTTAAAAACTATAAACTATTTTAATCTTTATTTCTTCCCGAATTAGTATTCACCAAAAATTTTCCAGTATTAAATTCATTCATGGATGTTGGTTCCAACCTTATCTCGAAGACAGAGGTTATGTTGTCTCTACTGGTGATCACAAACCAAAGTAGATCACCGTGACATGTGGGGTTCCCCAAGGCTCAATTCGTGGACTGCTGCACTTTAATCTCTACATGCTCCCTCTGGGTAGGTCAAACACAAGAACAACGTTGTCTTGTCATAATTATGCAGATGACACCCAGATCTACCTTGCTCTACCACCGAGTGACTGTGGCCCTCTAGACTTACTTTGTTAGTGTTTGGAGCAAGTTAATGATTGGATGCAGTCAAACATCCTCCAGTTAAACCAAGACAAGACTGAAGTTATTGTCTCTGGAAATAAGAAGGATAGGATGGAGGTTATTTTTCAACTTGGCTCATGAAGAATAAAGACAAAGACCAAGCTTAGAAATCTTGGTGTCATAATTGATTCAGACCTCAGCTTTAATGATCACATTAGCATTTTATCATCTTCTTCAAATAGCACCTCACCTTTACACCAGCAATATGTGCACAAGAATAATTTTTGTTTTAAACTCTCAGTGACACACTTTGCGGGGTGGGGGGGTGGTGTGTGTGTGTGTGTGTGTGTGTGTGTGGGGGGGGGGGGGGGGGGGGGGCATTTAATTTTTCTTGGCGTTTGGAAAAACATCCCCTTTATTTGACTTTCTGCCCCCTTTGTTTTGGTCCAAGATCATTACTGGGCTGGCCCTATTAAAAACGTTCTACACCCCTGCTTAGCAGACTTAATGAAGTATTTTTAAGCCAGTATAAAAATGACTGAAACACAAATTTACATATTTGGCATTATTGACCAATATCTTTGATTTAATTTATTTGTTAAGAACATCCAGATGCACTACAGTGAACAATATAATAAAGTACATTTTTCTAGTGCAGAGACGAGACAACCCATAGAAGCACTGATTTGATCTAATTTCAGAGAAAAATAAAACAGGTCAGATGCACCAAATAAATGAAATTACTAACATAAACTCAGGAATCTGTTTCTTTGCTTCATTGTTCTGTTACTGAAAATATCACTAATGCGGATCAAAGGTGATACACAGATGAATGCGTGTCTTATTTATTATTTGGAAATGATTGGGTGTGGTTTACATCAATACATTATTTTAAATCTGAAATTGATATGGATCGATCAGAAGTTGATAAGTGTATTATTTATTTGAAAACTATTTACAGAGCAGCCTCAGAATTGAGATTAAATATTTTTATCACAATAGTAAAGAAACTATTACAGAACAAGTTTTTCAATAAAATCAGAACATGAATATTTAAGTGCATGAATTAATACATCTGAACTCATGCAGTAGGAGCTAGGAAATATGAAATACTAGAACCAGACACAACTTTTTTTTTTATTAAACTGGAGTCCGCTGGAGTTTTTGACAATTAAAACTGCGCCCACATTTTCTTAGTTACACATCTCTTTTAACAACGGTGGTTTCTGCATCTTGCTTCAGCCCTCTCCCCCCTCCCCCCTGCACAGCGGCCGCAAACTCACAGATGCACCTGCAGCCTCTCAGAGTTGCTGCTGCTCTAAACATTAAAATGATAATTTCATTTTCTGTTCCTCACTTCTGATTACCTTCAGTGGTGTCTGTTTGTTGCAACCACCAGGTACAAAAACTAACTTGTTTTTATTTGACTATTTTTTTGTCCTGCCTGTTTATCATCTTCCTGCATCTCCTCTCAGTCCTAAAGAAAAACTGCTACCTGGCTTCATATATATTCACCTCATGAGTTACCTTTGAACTGCAGTTCTAAAAGATCTACCGACCGCAAAAACAGCGGAGTGCGCGCCGGCCGCACCGGTGAGGTGAAATCACCGGAGAACAAAACAGGTGATGTGCTCCGCTCCACACATCAGGCACAAATAAAAGAAGACATAAAAGGAAATGAGCCGACATGAACGATCGCATGTTAACTTTGTTTTTGAGGTGGCGACACCTAATTTGATAATGTTACTGTAGCCATGCTCAGGACGCAGATCTCTGGAGCGCGTCAACGATCAGAGCAAACAATTTTCTAGGGGTGGCCATGGCCACCCCTGGCCACCCCTTGGGGGCGCCCTTGGCCCCAACTCTAGTAACTTTTAAATAAAGATTGAAAACTTTCCTGTGTTCATCAGCCTTTGAATGACTGTTTCTTATGCTGCACCTTCTGCACTATAACTGCTCACCCTTTAACTTTGTATTTTTTCTGATTCTTATATCTGAAATTAATCTGTGTATTCAATTTGGTCTAAATTTATTTGTGTATTTCAATCGTGCTGTCGCATTGATTTTAATGTTTGTGCTATTCCCGTTAATGGAAAGCACATTGAATTGCCTCTGTGTATGAAATGTGCTAGACAAATCAAACTGCCTTGTCTTGCTGCCGGTATGATGGTTGTGTGTTATTTAGTGACTTGAGTGTTAAGATGGTTCTCAACTTGATGGAGAGTCTTCTGAAAGCCTCAGGGTGTTTTTGTTGCATGTGCCCAGGCTGGACCTCGTGGAGAGTTTTGTGTGCGACTCTGAACTGCGGCAGACTTGTCAGGAGGATTTGCTGCGGCGCTTTCCAGATCTTCATCGCATGGCCAAAAAGTTTCATCGACACTCTGCTAGTCTGCAGGACTGCTACCGCGTCCACCAGGCTGTGAGCCAGATCCCTGCCCTCATCATGGCCCTGGAGAGATACACAGGTTTGCAAAAACCAGCAGACAACATGGTCATTAGCCCTGTTTTAAGGTTTTACTGGAACTTACTGTGTGTGTGTGTGTGTGTGTGTGTGTGTGTGTGTGTGTGTGTGTGTGTGTGCGTGCGTGCGTGCGTGCGTGCGTGCGCGCGCGCTTACTTTAAGAATGCTGTAATCCACCCGCTTCTTAAAAAGCTGAGTCTTGACCCCTCTCTCCATAGCAGCTTCAGACCCATCTCTAAACTTCTGTTCATCTCCAAGATCTTGGGAAAGGTTGTGGCTAAACAACTCACAGCTGCTCTTGATGAACATAACATCTATGATAGCTTCCAGTCAGGTTTTCGTAGAGCTCATTCTACTGAAACAGCTCTTCTTAGGGTCTCTAATGACCTTCTGACTCACAGTGATGCAGGGGACTGTTCTGTTCTGGTCCTGCTGGACCTGACTGCAGCCTTTGACACTGTTGACCATCACCTGCTACTGGAGAGGCTGGGAGACTGGGTAGGCCTATCAGGATCTGCTCTGGAGGGGTTCTCCTCTTATCTCTCTGAGCGCTCCAGCTGAAAACTCACTTGTTCAAGCTGGCTTTTTCATGACCTTCATCACCACCCTCTCTCTATTCTGTTCTTATTCCTCCTTTCCCGGGATCCATTGATTTTCCTCTTTCCTATTAATTTTCTCTCTCCCTTTCCTTACATTTTATTATTATTATTTTCTCTTTTTAAACATATTTTTAATCATTTTTTAAATCTTTTTATACCTAATTTTATTTTATTTTTTTTGTGAAGCGCCTCCTGATTTTTATCTTGAGTGACGTTGCATAAAAGATCATGTTTATCTTCTTCTCTGTGGCTGTCTCTAAGTTTTGGTCCTCCACCACCTCCCTCACTCATGGTGTCCTGCAATGTTATGTGCTGGGGCCTCTGCTCTTCCTCCTCTATCTGCTTCCTCTTCAGCACATCCTGAGCTCCTTCAAAGGAATCTCCTACCATCTTTATGCAGATGACATCCAATTGTACATCTCCTTTAAACTCCATGAGATGTCTAAGCTGCAGCTGTTACACACCTGCTCACCCCGGGTTTCCACGGGAGCCGTCAGCAGCACGTTACTGCAGCAGCACGTCTTGCTCGCGTAAGCTGCTGCTTGGCCCTTCCCACGAGACGCGAAGCAGCAGGGGAGCAGCTGTCACCGACCGAGCACGAAGTCACACGAGTGACTTCGTCAGTAAACACAACAACAAGCAGGAGAAAACTACAACATGGTTTGTGTTTTATGTTCTGTCCGTTTTATAATCGCCAATACGGACCTGAAAAACAAAGGAGACCGCTAGCTGTGTGATAACTTCTCACGGGGCCGCACAGTAACTGTTTTTAAAAGTAAAGCAACCGGAAGGCAGTACGTTCTTTATTCTGAAAATCTCGGGAGCTTCTCCCCATTTCCGCGTTCGATTTCCTGTCTTTCCTTCCCCAAAAATGTCGAACTTGACCCGTTTCAGAGGCGTCGCGCGTAGAAAATAGAACCGGCGCGTAAGGGCCGCGACATGCTGCTCCTGAGACGCGGCCGACTCGCGCTGCTGACGGCTGCCGACGGCTCTAGTGGAAAAGGTTCTGTTGACCACAGCGGTTCCTATGAGCAGCTATGACTTGCTGCTGCAGTAACGTGCTGCTGACGGCTCCCGTGGAAAGCCGGGGTTAGACTCTATTAAAACCTGGATGGCTGGGGGCTTTCTACAGCTGAATGAAGATAAGACTGAGATCCTTATCTGTGCCCCAGACAAGCTGGTTCCCAAAGTCGGAGACTCTCTTGGTCAGCTTCCTAACCCTAACCCATTTTCTTTCTTTGTGTGTGTGTGTTGTAGGCAGCTACCAGGTGTTGCTGCAGGCAGCGTTCACCACCCCTCTCAGAGACCTGCAGACAGACTTCCTAAAGTACCAGGAGATGATTGAAACCACACTGGACATGAACCAGGTCCTTATTTTTATGTGTAAATATTAACATGACTGTGATTTAGTGTTTATTTGTTCTAAACATGGTTTTCTCGTGTGTTTTGCATGATGAGTGTAGGTGGAACACCACGAGTTCCTGGTGAAGGCTTCGTTTGATCCAGTTTTGAGTGAGCTCAGGGAAAAGATGGATGTGCTGGAAAAAAGCATGCAGGGTGTACTGAACAGTGCTGCCAGAGAACTGGGTGATTACGCACGCACGCACGCACACACACACAAAGATAAAATGCAACAATTAAACAATTTGAGATCATAGAGCTTTTCTAAAAGTGAATTACTTGTCTGATGTGACTGAGAGCTCTGTGACTAAAATCCTCAGCAAATGGATCTCACCATGCGGCTGTCATGTGCTGTAATGTATCTAAAGCTGTAAATTTGACTCCCTTCGGTCCGTGTGAATATCGTTTCATCACCAGGAGCTGGATGTGGACACTCGTGTCTTTCATTCAATTAGATTTGGTGTGTGTGTGTGTGTGTTGCCCAGTCACTACATGTGTTAAAACATTTTTTAATTAAACAAAACATCAATGTGTGGAAAAGCCTTAACTATTAAAGAGCAAGTCACCCCCTACCAGAGTCTTACTTCACTCCCACTTTATGTTTGAAAAATGCAACAAATGCTGTTGCCTGGCAGACCGAGAGGGCACAGCTGCTAACAAATACACCCAAACAGGCTCACAATAGCATTGTGACATCATAATGTACCAGCTAATGTTATAGTGTACCTCTTAGCCAATAGCAGTGGCAGTTTTAAATTCAAATGTAGTGCAGAGTTTTTACCTGAAGATGGCGCATCACAGACAGTTTTAGGCAGAATATTTAAATTTTAATTGAGATGCACTAAAGTGCCAAATTATTGACTACATGTGTCTACAGCACAGTTAGACACTCGTTTATATAGTTTATAGAGGGCTAGCTTTAGCAGCAACAATCCAAGGTTTCTGAGGCATGGATCGTACATAATAGATAGATAAATCCCCTGTGCCGTCACCTGTAGGTTTTTGAAAAGCTGAATTGAAGTCCAGTGGACAGCACCCACCACCATCTTGCCCGTGTCTTGTCATTCCTCGAAAAAACAAAAATGGAGCTGAGAGGTTGGTGGCGCATGATTGACACCCACCAAACTCTGAGCCAATGTAGCTACTGGCTAACTGAATCTAACAGAAGTTGGTAGGCGCTTCCAGCCAGAAAACCACAGTTGAGCAGCTCTGCTCCCACTGACTTCTAGGCTGTAACACTTTTAACGTTAGACCGAGGCTGAAGCCTTCCCTGGAGCAAGTAGGGGGGGAACAGCCGCTAGTGCAGATGGCCCTTTTGCTACTTGTCAAAAAGACACACCCCTAATTCATTTCAAGCTTTAATTACATCTAATGGATGAATTACAAAGTAATTCACCCCCCTCAGAGTTGTCATGATGAACCAGGCTGTAAATTATATTCATTCCAGCCATGAAGTTGGCATTTCTAACATGGGAGTCAATAGGAACTTGCTCCTTTCTAGAGCCAGCCCCTAGTGGATGAGGGGGGAACCTCAATATTTTTTCTGTGTTGGATTCACTTTTGGCAGGTGGAGTTTCTCCCTTGGTCTGAGAAGACTTCTGCTGGCTGATGCTATACATTGTGGTCTAAAGTCATTTGTCCTCATCTGTCCAAGGAACATTCTGTCTTTCTATAACAATACAAGATAGATTACACGATATATTACGATGCTAAATCCAGATGATATTTACAATAATCAAGACTGAATTTAATTGTAAAACTCAGGCCAGATGCTTCCAAGTGTTATCACGAGATCTCGTTGTTCTCAGACTTTATTCAAGTTGACTGTTATAAACCTAGAAACTTGTACTTAAATGGTGCTCAAAATAGTAAAACTGTCACAAGTACAGAGCTAAACGTTCATGTGTCATTAACTGAGAGTTACTCCAAGTGCTAACACAATTTAATTCTAAAACCCTTCACACGTTAGGTTATAGGTGATACACATTACTTAGGTATGCTGGGCCTTAATAATTACTAATAAATTTCTCAGTCATTATTGATTTAGGCTCAGCAGAATACTTGAAATGCATCTGAAGCAGCTTTTTTAATTCTGCAGGTCTGGATGCAGGAAAGACTGTGAAGCTGGAGTCCAACGCCATGTTGGGTTTCTACCTGAGAGTCACGTGCAAGGAGGAGAAGACTCTGAGGAACAACAAGAAGTTCACCACACTGGATGTTCAGAAGAATGGCGTGCGCTTTACAAACAGGTTCGTCTCACTGTGTCACATGTCTGAAATCAGCACAAGATGAGTCAACCATGATTGTCAGCTGAGTGCCTGACTTTGGTTTTGCCGTTTTTCGTGCGTCTGCAGCAAGCTGAGTTCTCTGAATGAGGAGTACACCAAAAGCAGAGAGGAGTACGAGGAGGCCCAGAACGCCATCGTTAAGGAGATCATCAACATCGCCTCAGGTGCGGATCCCCGTCACATGCTGCCCACTGTATTGCATCAGCATGGTATTTGCTGATGAAAGCGATCGTTTGTAAAAGTCTTTAAACTAATTGATTTCATTGTAATTTCCTGTAAAGGTTATAAAACAGTGGAGTCTTTTAAAGTTTTAATAGGAGTTAGCGTTGGGGAGGTTTTGGTCTTTCATGTTCGCGCTGCCCCGGTCTCATGGCAGAGACCATCTGTTATCTGTTAGATGATGTTTTATTGATTTCACACCACCAGGTTATGTGGATCCCCTTCAGACGCTCAACAACATTATAGCTCAGCTGGACGCTGTGGCGAGTTTTGCCGTGGCATCCGTGTCTGCCCCCGTCCCGTATGTCCGCCCCCGTCTTTTGGATAATGGCTGTAGGCGTCTGGATCTGGTGCAGGCCAGACATCCCTGCATGGAGACTGATGCAGACACTGCCTTCATACCCAATGACATCACCTTCGTCGAGAGAGAGAAGAGCTTCTATATCATAACGGGTAAGAGACACTGCAGAACAGCCAGCAAGAGAAGGCTTGATGGCTAACTTCCTCTTCTCCACAGGACCAAATATGGGTGGCAAGTCCACGTTCATCCGGCAAGTGGGTTTGATTGCTCTGATGGCTCAGATTGGCTGCTTCGTGCCGTGTGAGAAGGCGGAGCTCAGCGTGATTGACAGCGTCCTAGCTAGAGTGGGAGCTGGGGACAGCCAGGTGAAAGGAGTGTCCACCTTCATGTCTGAGATGTTAGAGACAGCTGCCATTCTCCGGTAAGACCGTGATCAAATCTCCAATAAATCAGTCACGTAGACACACACATTGTCATTCTCCCCATCGTCCCTCCAGCTCGGCCACAGAGAACTCTCTCATTATCATCGACGAGCTTGGCAGAGGAACATCCACGTATGATGGCTTTGGGCTGGCCTGGGCCATCAGCGAGCACATCGCCTCTAAAATCGGCTGCTTCTGCCTGTTTGCTACTCATTTCCATGAGCTGACGGCCCTGGCGGCGCAGCAGCCCGCCGTCCACAACCTGCACGTCACCGCGTTGACATCACACAACACGCTCACCATGCTGTACAGAGTCAAACCAGGTTGGACCATTGATGTTGATTTTCTGCACTTTCTTCTAGCAAATATTTTTTACTATAGTTTTGAAAAGTGGAGAACAGAAATATGACGTTTGATTATGTTTGCCAATTTTGATTTGTACCTTGCTGTTTGTCCCACAACATCCCATCTCTACTTTCTACAGCGTACACTGGACGTCCTCCTAATGATGAGATAAAGTATCCATAAAACATTGAATTTATTCTGCACTAATATTATTGTGTATATTAAAAGATTAAAGATTAAAGTCCCATTTAGTCGTCACACACACACACAGGTGTGTGGTGAAATTTATTCTCCGCATTTGACCCATCCCCTGGGGGAGCGGTGAGCTGCAGACAAGCTGCGCTCGGGAACTATTTGGTGGTTTAACCCCCCAATCCAACCCCTTAATGCCGAGTGTCAAGCAGGGAGGCATTGGGTCCCATTTTTTCAAAGTCTTTGGTATGACCCGACCAGGAGTCGAACCCCTGATCTCCCGATCTCAGGGCGGACACTCTACCACTAGGCCACTGAGTCGGAAATCAATATGCAACAATTTCCGCTCTTAGCATATCATTACACCGGAAATTACACACGGTTTCAGTGTAAAATCCCAGGTAATTTTCAAAACAAAAGTCATTTGCAGCGATGCAATTTCATACCTATGTAGTGACATCAATACAAGTGACCTAACCGCTTATATACTCCCAACATCGTTCCAGAAGTGCAGTGGTGTGTTTTTCATGGTTTTAATCCTGGCAGTGGAGAGGAACAACATGTATTTATTTATTTAAACATAATTTTATACGGAGGAATTACCACTTGAGATGAAACATCTCGTTTTCGAGTGGGTCCTCCTTTACAACAAAAAGAAGAACAAAAATTAAGATCAAGACAGCAGAGCAAAAATCAAAATTAAAACATTACAACAATCATTTACAGACACACACACACACACAGACACAGACACAGACACAGACACACACACACACACAGACACACACACACACACACACACAGACACACACACACACACACACACACACACACACACACACACACACACACACAATACTTCACCCCACACAACACGGCCCCAACTAACAAGGACAAAACAAAAGCAACAGCCAGTTGAACGAATACAATTAGTGACATAGACATTTATTCCTGAAGATGATCAACCAGAGCCCTTCGAAAAGTTGTGAATGATTGTAAACGACCAGTAGATAAAGGAAGATTATTCCAATCACATGGAGCCTTAAAACCAAAAGCATGCTTCCCTACCTCTCTTTTCACTCTAGGAACAACAAAAAAGATCTGGTCATTATGCCGCAGGCTGTAAAGTGAATTATAGGGAATTAAATGTATTTTAACATAATCCAGATAATTAAAGTAAAAAGTTATAAAAATGAACTGAAACCAGTGAAACTCCCGACAGCAGGTGCGAACCAGGACAACTGTCAATACATCACACTTCGATGTGTCCTAAATGGACATTGAAGAACAAAACAACAGAGACTATTATAAGTAACATCAATAGAGTGCAAGCAGGATGAAGTGTTCTGATAGATAATGTCAGCAGAGTCCAGAATAGGCAGAAGCAGCTGTGTGGCGATTCTTTTCCTAACCAGAAAGTTAAAACAATTATCAGATTGATAGAAGATTTTAAGATGAGAATAGAATTTTTTTGTAGTTGATTGTATTTGTGTTTTAAAGGATAAGTCAGGTTCCAGCCAAACACCAAGATATTTTATGGTCTCCGTGGTCTCCAGAGGAGAGGAGTTGAGGAAACAAAGCTTCAGGTTTTTTTCGCCAATATCTAGGGCTTTCCTATGAAACAGAGGTGTGAATCTTCACTTGTCTTTCGATTCGATTACGATTATTGGGTCAACGATTCAATTCGATTCGATATCTCGATGCATCACGATTATTTCATATCGATTTGTTTTCATTGATAAATAGAAGATGTCAGATAATTGCTTTTTATTATTATTTTTTTAATCAAAAACGTAATTGACACAACCTGCCATCCCTGAAAAGCTCTCCTTTCACAACAGGTTTGGACAAAACATTTTAAACTTTTAAGAAGATTTAACAAAGTAAAAACATCCATTTCCTCGTTCAACACCACACCTCAGGCTGAGAAAAACACGCTTTGCAAAACCTCACAAAATCTAAAAAAAATACAGAAAACCTACAGGACACATAATGTAATAATAAAATACATAATGGGTTCATATATGAGTGTTTAATGTCTCTGAGCAGCTCTAGAGTCAAATATTTATGCCACAGTTCAAGGGTGTCAGAAATAACACCAAATGAAATGTTTGACTTAGTTTTTTTTTTTTTTTTTTTTGAACCCAGTGGTTCATTTCTGAAATGTTGGAGAATGAATCAAGTTCTGTTTGATGCAGAAAATAATAAAACGTAAAACAACTTATAAACTTCCAATAATATTTAAGATGTGTGTTTTATTCTTTCTGATAATAACACCAGCAGAATGCTGTGGGCTGGATTAGGATTAAATTACCCAGCTGATGGATCTCTTTCACTAACCAGCTAACTACAAACCTTTCCACTAACCTGTCCTGTGGGACCCTCACCATGTAACCCTCATGTCCATGCTGTCTCTGGAGGAGCAGATAGGAAACAAGACCTCCTGTAACCTAAAATGAACCAAAGCTTCCTCCCAGCTTCTCTTTAAGTTGAATTTAACATTAGTTTATCATCATGAAACAAAAGAATAAAGCGGAACAAGAACTTTTTTTTTCTATTTCTCTCTCCTTTTAACTTTTCTGCATCCCTAAATAAGAGAGACAGATGATTACGCTGCAGCCGCCGTCATTGACCCCGTCCCCTCCCCAAGACCGGATCTCCCGGTATCACAACACTCGGTCTGACTGAGCGCTTGCGTGTTTGGAGCATCGGTTTGGAGGAGCGTCCTCCGATCCTCTCTCTTGTGTGAGCAGACAATGTCTCCCTCTCTCAGTTGCTGTGCGAGCGAGCGCGCCGCGTGCCAACCCACTTAACATAATTCACCGCCCATATCCAACAGAACCGGTCGGGCTGATTCGGTGCCGGTTCGGTTTCAGGTTACAACTCTAGCGCTCAGCCCTGCAGTACCACATTAAGGCGGAACCACTTAGTAAATGTGGAGGACGCTCTGACAGATTTAGATGCTGCGCTGGTGCCGCCATTAAAAAAACAAAACTACATTTCACTGTAATCGATTATGGCGTACTTTTCTACGATGCAGAATCGTTATGTCCGCATCCCGATGCATCGATTATTTGATTATTTTCCTCAGTTCTATGAAACAGTAAGGAATGTGATTTGGACTTAAGAAGAAGTTTATTGGCCAACAGCCACTGCTGAATAGAATTAAAGTCTTTTTGTAGCGAAGAATGTATCTCAGTGAGAGTTGGCTTACCACAATAGATAACGGTGTCATCAGCATAAAGAAGAATATTACAGTCTGTGCAGCACAGGGGCATATCATAAACATAAATAGAAAACAATAAAGGTCCTAAGGAAGAACCTTGAGGGATGCCTTTAGATATTCCCGTAAAATTTGACTGACAGCCCCTGTACAACACATACTGGTGACTATCATTGGATATTTCATTGTCAACTATCATATTATTTGATATTAGACTTACCTGCTAAAGGGTTGACTCCCTTCCAGAATTGCTTTGGGTTACTTAGATCATTTGATAGGATCTCTCTATAATAATTAGCTTTAGCATTTGTAGTTTGGGTTATGCATACATTTCAAAGTCTTTTTTATACCTCCCAGTCCTCAGGTATGTAGCGTGATGAATTGTCCATTTCTGGCCTAAAAGACCCTGCTTTGGTTTGCTCTGCTCAAAGCAAAACCAGAAGTTTCTGGCACAAACCTATTCCACAAGATATGGGCCAAGGCCACTCATGCTTTGCTCTTATCTAAACAGTTGCTTCTCCGAACAGCAGAAGAAAGAAGAGAACTCTTTCCCTTTAAATAATAATAAATCAAATAACTCTTTCTCTATTTTTAATAAGCTAATCAAACAAAGTGTTAGCCCATAATAAAATGTGAACCATTCTGTGAAATGACAATGTTTATGATCAGTAGTATTTTAATAAGTAATATAACTTTAAACTAGCTGCACTAGACATTCTCATCCACGTTATGCTTAAAGTCACATGACACATTTCCTTTTTCTGATCCAATCAGAACCTTCCAGATCTGACGCGAGGCGTGGTTTTGTTGGTGCTTGGTAAATCCCCTCTTGTTGTCCTTTTTTTTGATTCGACCGTAAATCAAAACATCCAAATTATAAAACTATGCCTACGTCATCTTAACTGCAGTTCAAGCGTTCTAGAGAAGTTATCGGAGTGGCCAATCCGTAACTTTCCTCTTCAGCCGAAAGAACCTAACGACAAGCTGGATTAGATCTGTTGCATGTTCCACCTGCTGCAACGGTTCCTTTCAGAATAAAAGCTGAACCATCACTACCCCTTTTTGGGTCTCGCTAGATGCCAATAAACTGTCGTGACCTGGGAGTATCTCAAGACTGGTCTGGTTGGCATCCACTGCTTTTCTACCGGCTTCGGTTCCAGAGAAGGTCAAGCTGGACCTCGACATTCCTGATCTAACAGGGACTTCCGCAAAGGGTACGTAGGCCGACAGAATGGCGTCTCAGTGTGTGTTATAAATCTCCAAACCAAAGCTTAGAGCGAAACATCATCTTCACTCCCATCAGAACTAATCGTTTCTCCGGATTTGCTGGTTCTGAACATATTTCACCCATACACCATCCTCAGTCTTACTTCACCTTAGTTACACCATACACCTAGTGTTTAAAGTTAGTCTTGTTTAATTTGTTTAGTAATAAATCTAAATTTTTAAACTTGACTCTCTTTCTCCTGTCTCTGAGTTTATACGAAGTGGTTACATTAATCCCTGCAATAAAAAATTCCAATCTTCTGGTTTAAATTATCCAATGATCCATAAGATTGATTTCATATTTTCTATGGAATCTCACATTTAATGGTTCATCAAATAATATGTAAATTTAATCGTTACAGGTAATTGTGTATGTTTATGTTTAGTCCAGGCCCTGTCCCTGGTTTTAAAAAGATTAATGAGCTCGCTATTAACCCAAGGCAGATGATGCCCTTCAACCTTAATAGATTTTTAAGGGGCGTGTCTATCTATAACCGCCCCTACTTCACTATAAAAAAAAGTCCCAAGCAGCTTCCACATCCGGTATTAATAATAATAATAATAATAATAATAATGCATTGAACTTATATAGCGCTTTTCAAGACCCCCAAAGACGCTTTCACACACTGCTAGTGATGGTAAGCTACTTGTAGCCACAGCCGCCCTGGGGAGGTCTGACAGAGGCGAGGCTGCCATTTGGCGCCGTCGGCTCCTCTGACCACAACTAACACAGGCAAGTTGGGTGAAGTGTCTTGCCCAAGGACACAACAGCAGGATACCCCTGGCGGGAGCTGGAATCGAACCCATGACCCTCCGATCATGAGGCAACCCGCTCTACCACCTGAGCTACTGCTGCCCTAAGTCTATACCAGTTAATCCTTAGTATGTCATTGATAAATAAGTTATATTGAAATCGTTTCGTTTCACGAATCTTTATATATTTAGGAGAAAGATGAGGAGTAGTAATTTTCCAAATGAATTGAATAATGGAGTGGTCACTGAAACGGTCAGAGAGAACACCAGAGGTCATAATTCTGTTTGGATGAGAAACAAGAATCCAATCAATGAGAGATTTAGAGTTTGAGCTAATTCAAGCAGACTCGGTGATTATTTGTGTCAAATTAGCCCCATTAACCATGTTGCGTTCTATATGTGTAGAGGGATCATTCCAGTTTAAGTTGAAATCCCCCATCAGAATAATCTCACTTGAAACTCCCAGTGATGAAACCATAGCTAGGATGTTACTAACAGACTCTAGTTATGTAGATGTAGGTGGTCGGTATATATTACCAATAATTAATTATTTACATGAAGAGTGAACTTCACAAAAATACCTTCAAAAAGATCAAGTTGAACATCAGGAATTATTACCTGTGAACTCAAGTTGGAGGAGATAAAAGTAACGACTCCGCCTCCACTGGATCCTCCGTCAGCCGTGTACACTTCATAATTATCAAGATGAATAGCAGAGTCCGTGGTACTATTAATAAGCCAAGTTTCAGATAATGTGATTATATTAGGATTGTTGTAGCATAGCCAGGCTCTAAGCTGTTCAATTTTGGGGAGTAAACTACGAATATTCAAATGGATAGCATGGAGACCTTTACCCATACATTGTTTTTATTGTAATAAATAAAAATAGAACTAGCTGACATTATGTAGTAGAAGTCAAGAAGGTGGAGAGGTGAACATGAGCCAACATCATACGCACACACACACACACACACACACACACACACACACACACACACACACACACACACAATCATTCTCTCACGAATAAACACACAAAAAAGAATAGTAAACTAGGCAAAGCTTCTTTCGCTACCCTGAGTAAAGTACCATTGAATTTCTACCAGCAAAAAAATAAATAAGTAGATTAAAAAAAATTGAATAAACTTGTTTTATAGAATAACTGAATTTCAAGAAACCCAGAGGAAGATAAACAAAACAGCATATATTGATAAACTAAGGTCAGCAAGCAAAGAAGCATGGTATCATTATTTATAAGATAACCAAATTGTAAACAATGTCTTTTCCTTTCCTCTCCATTCCAGTAACTTAGCTTTCACCACCACAAAGTGACGGTCATATATGATGTCATCAAACAGCGATATCAAACGTGATTTCCTTCTTTTGGGTTTAATGGCGGACGGCATAAACTCGAGGGATTTTGTGATCTTGTGCGTCGAGCGAGGAGCACACTGGAGTAGCCGCTTCGTGGCTGATACTCACCCGGTGTGCAGCGATGGTGGCGAGTAAACCTTTCCGCTGCTGTTCCACTCCGCTGATGCTCCAGTGTGCAGTAGGGGTAAGATGACCCCAGATGTGTGTCTGATATCTACATCTACAGTCAGCTGATGCTTCATAAACTCTTAAAGCAAAGTGACAGGGAGCCCACTCACCAGCACATCTGTCTTTTCTTTATTCATGTTTGTGCACTCTTATGTGTTTTAAACCGTTTCTCATTTTATGAAAGTTAAAATACACAATTGGCTCATTTGTTCTATTTAAGTGAAAAATCTAACACACCCCAATTGTGTTCAGGTGTGTGTGACCAGAGTTTTGGGATCCACGTGGCTGAGTTAGCTTGCTTCCCTCTGTCGGTGCTGGTGGTGGCGAAGGAGAAGGCGGCAGAGCTGGAGGAGTTCCAGGAACCTGCAGGAGATGTCATGAAGCAGGATGAAGAGCCGGAGGCCAAGAGACGACGGACGGACAAACAAGTAGGACTTTTTGTTTACTCATCAGTCCTGCTTTAGGGACACAAACTCTGAACTTGAGAATTCCACAGAGCGTTCAGGGTCTTTTTAATGTGCTGCCTTCTGTTTAGGTGGGAGAAAACCTGATCCAAGAATTTCTGCAGAAGGTGAAGTCACTTCCTGTTGCCACCATGACTGAGGAGGAGGTGAAGGTGGAGCTCAAGAGGTTGAAGCAGGAGTTGGTGGCCAAGAATAACACGTACATCAGTGAGCTCCTTTCTCACTGCGTTTCTGGTAAAGCTGTCTGAATTTGACTCGCTGTGTTCTGATCTACTGTAAGGAACAGAGCGGCATCTCCTACACTGTCTAGGTTTCTAATAAAGAATTTGTCTTGAATGTGGTGGTGAGTTTTGTTTCGTGTCTTCATACCAAATCCAGTTAAACCAGAAGGTCCTGGGGTTGAACCAGTGCATCTAAAGAACATCATGGTCAAGTTCAATAGTTTTCTCACCCATTCTGAAACAGACCTGTATTCTATACAGATTTATTACACAGCATGAAATATTTCAGGCCAACAACTCTGATAGGGAGAGGTATGTGTATTCAACCTGAAACACACTAGCATTTCTAGCCAAGGCTGTTAGCGTTCGGCTAACCCATCAGCCTGTGGCTCTGCTGAGGAGTAGGTCCAGGTTGGTTTGCCTTTAGGTCATCTGCTTTTTGGGTCTGGTGTCTCATCATCCTCTGGACAGTAAACCATAGATCTTCCATGGGGAAATCAGGTCAGACTAGTTTGGTGGCCAATGAAAACCAGTAACATCAGTCATTGAACCAGCTTTTGGTGCCTCTGGCAGTGTGGGCAGGAGCCAAATCCTACTGGAAGGTGAAATCAGCATAGAGCTCATGTCCTGGTAGGTGACTGTGGACTTAAGAAGACCCGGTGGACCAACACCAGTATATGGACATGGAGCCAAATCATCAATGAAACTTCAAGCAACATGGATTCCTCTCCTTTCTTCAAGAATCTGGGAGGTTTATTTTCTAACGACCTGCAGACAGTCCAGTTCATTTTCTTCTCAGGTTCTTAAGTAAGATTCTTCTGATGTCTCTAGTTCTGGAGTGACTTGAGACCAGGAATGTGACCTCTGTTTTCCACATGTAGGATTGCTCTGACTCCTGCCTGAGTCCGCCCACGGTGGAGCTCCTCCCGGATCCTGAACGGGTTGATCTTGACAATCCTCTCGAGGCTGCAGTTGTCCCTGTTGCTGCTGTTCCTTTTCACACCAAACCTGCTTGTACGCAGCACTCCGTGAACAAGCAGCTTCTGTAGCAATGCACTTTTGTGGCTTTCCCTTCTTATGAACGGGGATTGCATGTCTTCTGGACATGTGTCCAGTCAGCAGTCTTTCCCATGACTATCCTTCTAACCCAAACCGTTAATTAGCTGATTAGAATGAAATACTGCGTTTCCTGTAACTTTTTCCATCAATTCACATTTTGTGAGACTGAATTTGAAGTTTTCTTATGTGAGCCCAAATCATCTAAGTGACAAGAAACTGAACCATTTCACTTCATTCATAATGAAGAAGGGTGCATGGTTGCAAGATTGCTAGCACTTTTGCCTCGCAGCAGGGCGATCGCAGGTTCTCCCCGTGTATGTGAGAGTTTTCTCCAGGTGTTCTGGTTTCCTTCCAGCAGTCACAAAACATACAAGTCAGATTAACTGTCCCTAGGAGAGAGAGAGAGTGTGAATTATTGTCTCTGTATGTCCCTGTAAACAGCCCTCCCTGCTAACCTACTGATGAATGCGTGGTAAGATAATGCATGAGTGTAATGCATCTAAATAAAATATAAATGGTAAAAATGGTAAATTGCCTGTATTTCTGTGTGTTTATGTATTTAGCATAATAGCGTTTATAGCGCCTTCTTAAGGTTCTACAAATGCCCTGAACAGCTGGTCACAGTTTATTTAAGCAGAGAGATAAGAGAGGATTGGGAGTGGATCATGTGTGGGAGAGAGTGAGTGTGTGTAATGGGAGGACAAGAATGTGTGTGCGTGTGGACGCTTCCAGGACATTCAGTTAATAGATCTCTTAAAAGGGCTAAAGTAATGAATAATAAAATTTCCATAACACCCCCAAGTTTCTTTACAACAACACAATCAGTCATTCACACCTTCACACGCTAGTGGGGATGAGCTACAATGTAGCCACAGCTGCTGACAGAAGCTGTAATAACAGAAAACCCCACCATGTACCATGCGGGGTGTTCTCCAGGAACTTGAGGTGAGCCACATCACAGCCGAGCTTCCGACAAATTTTGGAGTCTTATTTCCTGGTATCAACATCTCAACTCAGGCTGAATAACAGGAACGTGACTCTGTCACTGAGTTGCAACATTTATTTGGACAACCCACAGGTCCCTTCTTTCCCCCCACATTTTTCTTGTTTTATACACCATCTTCAGCAAATAAACAACCTTTTGCTCTTTAGCAGACCTGCATCCTCGAGTATTGTGACTGTCATGTTGCTTTCCCCTATACCCTAGACTGGGGGTTCATAACAGTTGAATGCCTAGGCCTGTTGTTTCTTTAATTATAAAGAATGAAGGAGCAATGCACTGCTACAGGCTAAACCACAGGGGCCAAACTGATGTGTCACACATTTTCACTGGTCCCATCCACCCCCCCCACCACCATCATCATCATCAATACATACCATTTAATTAGTCCCATGCTACACACAAACGTCTGAGCTTGGTGTGGTTTTTGGTGGTCATGGCTTATTTTTCCAGATGTGGAGTAATTTATCAACATTTGAAATGAGTCGTTCAGCTGATCCAGACATGGTTGCTGCGTCACAACAAGCATGTTGTCAGCTGATGAAATTTCCAAGAAAGCTCACCAAAAAAACGCTCACATCTGGGCTCGGCGTGTCTGAAGGATCACCGGTTATCTGGTCACATCCCTTCATTTGCATCGTGCTGGCTGGTGTCAAGCTTGTGCTCTGCAGCGTTTCGTCTGTGGGTCACCTTTGATGACAAAGTTATCCCCTAAAGAAGACTGACTAGATCAACAGAACTGAGTTAGTTTGGTTCCAGTGGCACACTGTGAGGTTTCTTTGTAGACTGGTTTCCAGAATTGTAACTGGATCTGACTAAACAGCTGCTTTTGGGCATGCAGATGTTGGACTGAAATATTTCCCCTTTTTTCCCCAGTAAAAGGTGCACTAATCGTTTAGTTTGACCTGTTTGAGGTTGGTCAGAGCTCATTTTAGACTTTAAACAGGCTTTCTTCTGAGGAATTTTTCTTGAAATGGCCCCTATTAGTGAATGATCGATTGAATCCATGTTTTTGTACGGTAAATGGCCTGTAGTTGACATACCATTTAGGGTCCTAGAATCCCCCTAGGCACTTTACAACACAATCATCCATTTCCTCCCTGGTGAACTACTATGTAGCCACAGCCGTCTTGTGGTACACTGACAGAGGTGAGGCTTCAGGGCACCACCACCAGCAGGAAATGTGGGTGAAAAGTCTTGCCCAAGGGGCAAGGACACAATGTAAGACTGAGCGGAGATCAAACCTACAACCGTTTGATTGCAGGGCAGACACGTAACTCCTCTGCCACCACCGCCCGCTGTATGTAGGTCTTTCCACCATTGAAGTGAGGTCATGTTGACTATCGAAGTTTTATCACTGAGTTTTTGCTGGAAATAAACCTAATAATCATTTCCTTGCAACCCCTAAAATGAGGAATTGGTTAACTTTAACAGAAATAATTAGAAGCAAATAACTTAATCTGAAATGTCATATTTCGCCATATTAGCTCATTTAAAAATGTACAAAATTAAAATTTTTCTCCACAACCTTCGGAGTAATGTTTCACTTCTGCACATGCATGTAAAACTAACCAAATACTGCAATGCTGCCCCCTGCTGTTTCTTTTCTACCATCAGATCAACAACTTTTCTGTTTAATGTGCTCATGAACAACTTCATGGTTAATTTAAACATGGATTATTTTAAAATTACATGGCATTTCACACACACAACACTGGCAGCAGTAGCTCAGGAGGTAGAGCAGGTTGTCCATTAATCAGAAGGTTGCAGGAGTGATCCTGGCTACCAGCAGAGAATGCTGCAGTTGTGTCCTTGGGCAAGGCACTTGGTAGTGTTCAGCAGCCTCACCTGTCGGTGCACCCCAGGGCAGCTGTGGCTACATTGTAGCTCATCACCAGGGTGTGAATGGATGAATGATACACTAGTGTAAAGCGCTACACAAGTGCTGGTCATCTATTCGCATGCTTCTAGTGGTTTCTATTATATTTTTCCTAAATTAAGCATAAAAGAAATACCTAAATCAGTAGGAACTATTTAAACAATATTCACAGTATTTCAGATCTGTAGAAAATCTGTCATTCCTTTCTCCCAGCCTACCGATGACCTAATTCCAACACTTTTTGCAAGAGTCTGACATGTAGTAGTAAATGGATAACGCTACAGAAAGCAGGTTTTGTCACAGTGAATGAATTAAAACACAGACATCTTTGATCTAATAAAGTTTTATTTTCTTAGAAATGGCAAGTTTTCATTTTTCTTTTGTCTTCCTAAGAAAGTATACCCCTTTTTGAATTCCAACTAGCATCTACAATAATGGTTATTGAATACTTCACAATATATTAAGTCTAGATGTTATGATACATGCATACGATTCAGGCTGCATGAGGAGCCAAAGTCACCACGATACACTGGAGGGAGGAGGGGGACGGGGGGCTGCAGACGGACTTCTGTTCCAGTTTAAAAGGAGCTTGGTCATCTCCTATTTAAACCCTCTCCACAAAACACTGACTGTTTCAACATATAAACACACACGCTCTCTCACTCGCACACACACACAACTTGCACTGTACACAACATCCATGTACACACCCGTGGAGCCACTCCACCTGCCATTTACGAACACACAGGAGAGGGTTTCTAGTGTTTAAACGAGTTTCTCTTTCACAGAAAGAAGTTCAGCACTGGGACGTTTAGAGCTGCTGCAGTTTGCTGAGGCGGGGGGAGGGAGGGACGTTAACCAAAGAAAAATAATTATAATAATATATAATAAAATAAAAGACATTCAAATACAGTCAGCTTTTTGCTTGAAAATACAAAACTACATGAGAAAGCATTGAAATAAAATTCCTTGATCAGAACTTTTTTTTTCTTTAAAAAAAAAAAGGCCCAAGTGCTCCATCACACACAATTATGTTTAGTTTTTGTTTCGCTTTTTTTTTTTTTTTAATCACCCACACAGACCAACATTCACACATCCACTGCCTAGTTGCAACTGTCTGGGCATCCAATAGGGATGGTAGCTGCGAGGAAGCAGGAAGTCTTTTTGACAGCAGTTCTTGAAGAGAAGAAGAAGGAGCTGAGGATTAACCAAAGGGAAGCTCTCCATGCTTTAAGTGCCACCAGCTGACCTCATCGCATCCTCAGAATGGAGCCCTTCTCTTCCCATCTTCTTTGCTTACAGACTGCAGTAAGAATCTCTTTGAGCCGTTTTGTCAGTTCATCTTCAGCTCCGCTGCTCCCTCTAACGACTTGCAGCAGCGAGTCTGGCTGCAGCCAGAGGAAGCTGCTTCCTCTGCAGCCTCTTTCTCCTTTGATCCCAGCTGAGAGCGCTGTAATCAGAGTCTCTCTGGACCCTTATGGTCGCAAGAGGGTGCGTGCATGTAACTGTGTGTATGGCTGTGTGCAATGTGATGTGTTGGTATGCTTATCTGAGGGCGTCAGCACAACCTAGACGCTTTCAGTTATGCTGCAGCGTGTTGGACTCAATGGGCGGTGCCGAGTCATAGAGAGTGTCCGTGTCATGTGTGGGCTCTCCTGCCAGCGTACACGGGTTGGACAACGTCCCTGCTCCACAGTCACAAAAAAACCTGGAACACAAACCAAAGAAACTGAGTTTTACCTTTAGTATTAACATCACTAAATGTGTGAGTCTCAGTTCTTAAAGTAATCCTTAAACAGTCCTCAAACAATAATTTATCCAGAGATTTTGCCTTTTAATTAAACTTTATTGTGAAACTAAATGAACAAACAGGAAACAATTCCATTTTTTTGCTTATAATCCCCTCCCATTAGATCACTCAACAAAAGCTTGTGGCTTAATGAATATAAATAGACTCCTAAACCCCCAAATAACTTTCTACAGGCATTGAATCAAACATCAAAAAGACTAATCCCAAAAAAAGACTAATCCCACAGGAAATAAACCATCTCTGGTGTTTCTACTAAAAAACTAAAAAAAACACAGCTGGTGTCTAACTAAATTGTTCTGAAATCATAAATAACTTTGGCTAAAAACCACTTTGAGGATAACTCAGAGGAACACGGTTTTCCTAATAAAAAGTGATACTCCTAGCTTACCGATCGTGCCGTATAAACTCTACATCGTGTCCTTGGTGGCACTTTTTGATGCAGTTAACACAGATGGCGTTTCTATCTGTCGTGTTACAGGTGTGACATCTGGAAAAGCAAAACAGACATCTTTAGAAAATTACATTTAAAAGTTCCTTTTTTCAACTTTTAAACAGAAGATGATAAGACATAACAACAGGGATGCTTGACCATTTTATTTCTCTGAATAAAATGAGACATTTTCAGCCCTCTCCCATTAAGAGAGAAAATCAATATCTTTAGGTCAGACAGCCTGAGAGCCGTCCGCTGCACCAACACACCAGCTCTATAGCGGGTTGGTGCTACATACAAGTTCAGACGTTTACCTGTAAAAGTCGTGCATGGGGTAACTGGTGTAGCTGGAGATCTTATAGAGACACTGTCCTCTGCTCACTGCCTTCTCTATGGCGTCCTGATTATGTGTAATTTTGTTATCTGGAAGTAAATGAATAAAAGACGAAGGTGGTCAGCCAGCAGACTCGCGCATAGCTTTAATGTCCACAAAGCAGCCTCTTACCTTTCATAGTGACGTTGACTCCGGAGGCCAGAAACAGACCTCCAAAGCGATTGTTGAAGATCTGGTTTCCCTCCAGCGTGGCAGTGGCATGGTTAGTAATTTCAATACCTGGATGAGCAAACGAGAAGCCTAGCGTAAGCCAAAAGGAGACCGACTCAGACGTTATCTGTGTTTTTAAGCGTTTGTAAACTAACCTGCTGCAAAGCCATCAAAAATGCGGTTCTTGCGGAGGGTTGGATGGCTGTTGGTGCTGATTAGCACACCGGCCTGAGCGTTCCTGAAGATGTCGTTCTCTTCCAACAGACCTGCAGAGAAAATGACCTCCGTGAGCAGACATGTGCATGTGCTGGAGCAGCAGGATAGGATGCATAAAGACACTCAAGCCTGACTGAAATAAAACATTTCTGAAGTGTCAGAAGCAGATCTAGTCTCCTGAGGATACATTGTCCAACTACCTCTGCCTCCATTAAAGATACAAATGCCTCCGTCTCGTCCATCATGGATCTTATTTCTTCGTAGTGTGGGATTGCTGTCTGTCTTGATCCACACCCCAGCCATGGCGTTATCAAAGATCTCATTATCCTCAATGAAGCCCAGACCTGTGAAGCAGCAGCAGGATCAGACAAAGGTAACAACACATCACTGAGCAGCCTAAAGAGGCGCCGGTCAACACAAACCTGAGTTGTAGACCAAGATCCCTCCATTCTGGCCTCCCCAGATCTTGTTGCGCCTGATCTTTGGGTTGCTCCCCGTCCTGCAATAAACCAAAATCACAACATGAATTAAAGGAACAGAAATAGTTGAGCATCTTAAAACATTAATATAGAATCATCTGGGATGTTTTTACCTTATTTGAACACCAGAGTACATGTGATTGTAGATGTCATTGTCTTCCAACACGCCATGCCCATTGTCATAGAAATATACACCAACCTGCAGGTGTGTGTGTGTGTGTGTGTGTGTGTGTGTGTGTGTGTGTGTGTGGGGGGGGGGTAACAAAACGTTAAACTGAGGGTAAAAAAGATATTCATCCCCCAAATAAATACTATTATTAAAAATATACACTTAAGCTTAATATTCAACCATCCACCATGCATTTATTTCATATCAAATTCAAACAGTGTGGCAGATAAATGAAAGCCAACAAGCTCATTAAAATATCGGACCTGCTTGCCGCTGTGGATGCGGTTCTTCCGGAGGACAGGAGTACTTCCTGTGGTCACCCAGACTCCAGCCAACGTGTTGCTGTAAACCTCATTCTCCTCGATTACTCCTTGACCTTTCTCATGCTGGAAAACAAAACAGAATAAAAAATAAATAAAACAAAAGCAGCAAACACTGAAAAGTTGTCTGCACCTTCTAGATAATTATTTAATTGAAAAAAAGCTTTTACCACATAGATGCCCCCATGCTGCCCATCATGGATTTTGTTATGTCTAACAATGGGGCAGCTGTTGGTTCGAATCTGGATCCCAGCCAAGGCGTTACCATAGATGTCGTTACTTTCTATTAAACCTCGCCCGTCTCCAAATATGTACACTCCTCCTTGGTTACCATTAAAAATAGCGTTTCCCCTGGAACAGGAGAAGAAATTTCAAGATGAACCTTTCAGAATAAACGAGGCCGTTTCTGTGGAGCCCGTCTTCTTACCGTATCGTCGGGTCACTGTTGGATGTGATCCAGACGCCAGCAAAGTTATTGGCATAAATTTTGTTCTCTATAAACTGACCCCGCCCCTTCTCGTGGACGTAAATGCCTCCCGTTTGGCCGTGGTGGATCTCACATCGAACGACCGTGGGGTTGGCGTAGGCTTTCACCTCAAAGCCAGCTATGCGATTTCTATGGATATTACAGTTCTCAAAGTAACCCTGAAATGAAAAAAACAAACAAACAAATAAAACGACCATTCAAATAAAAACTTTAGTCATTTCCTCGGTAAAACAGGAGACATGACGGAGCTGATGGTAGTTACCATGCCGTGATCAAACGTGAACACCCCCACATCTCGTCCGTGGTGAATGTGGTTCCGCCTAATGATGGGATTACCGTGGTTCTTCACCCAAATCCCTGCTAGAGCATTGTTGCTGATTTCATTGTCTTCATAAATGCCCTGCAGGCAGATAACGGACATGACGAAGAAAGATAATGTAAGGATGGTTGAGTTTAAGTGGATTTAAGACAAATAAGGGAAAAAAACCCTGATTTTGTGTTACCTGTGCGTGGTCTGTAATGTACAGTCCCACGTTCTCACAGTCGCTGATGTTGCAGTGTTTGATGGTTGGACAGGCACCCTGTCCACTCACACACACAGCTGATCCCACTAAAGACAGAACAAAACACCTCAAACACAGGTAAGCATGTCCTCACAGAGAGTATGAGATTAGGCTTTTGAAATGTTTTAAGTTAAATAACCAACACTGATCTAATCCCAACATTCAGCCTTAAGGAAAAGTTTAAAAAATGATCAGAATTTTAAATCCGAGAATCCATTTATTAATGTTTGATCCTGACTGAGGACAATAATAGTTTAACAACTTGATGAAATCAATCATTCATACAAAAAATGAAGAGTTCAATTGTAAAACCAGTTAAAAAGCATTTTGATCAAAATGACTAAACTTTTTTTTGACTGATGAAAATAACAGATGGCTGTTGTTGAAAATTCATAACAGAGTTCTGTTTTTGCAAACAAACTCTTCATATGTACTTGTCTTTAGTCACTGTAAGTGGGAAGCTTACATTAAGGACCTCCTCAGGTAGGGCAAGGCGATAGCTTGATATTTTATTGATATTACTTCAAACATAAAACAAGACGTCTCAGTGATGCTTATATTGATTTAACAGCGCTAGCAGCGAGCTTACTCCGTCTCTGAGCAATCGTTACATGCATTCTCACGCGTCTGCCTGATCAGCAAACCTCTGGGTCAATGACTGCGTTTACACGCAGCCAACAACCCGTTCAAAAACCGGTTATTTGCAATAACCCGGTTCTGCAAGGCCATGTAAATGCTGGCAATAACCCACTTATGCTCATAACTGGGTTTTAAAAAAACGGGTTATCACCCCCGGGGTAACCCTTTTCTATCCCGAATATCAGGTCATGTAAACTTGCATCGGGATAACTCTTTCAAAAGGTGTGCTCTACACATGGATGGATGGATCAGGGGACGGCAACCGAATCAATTAGTTTTTTCCCCTCAATTACAGTGATGGAGATAACGGCACAGTGCGCATGGCTCTGGTGTTAATCAAGTTTAATTGTTACTCTTTTCAACAATCTTCACAAGAAGGCGAAACAGTTAAATAGCAGGGTTTGCATTGACCGGATATTTCCCGTATTTGACCGTTTATTTTGATGGAGAAACCTCGAGGCTGTTGGTCACTATGAAAGAATTACCCTGACGCGTGCAGATGCGCTGACATTTTAATCGTTACGCACATCGCGGAGGTAGCTACATCGATCACAAAAAGATTCTCATCAGAACATCTGAGAATTATTCTGGACACTGCTCAGCGCAGCTCGCCGTCAGCTCGCACATAAGGTGGACGAGCTGAAGATGTGGAGAGGGGCTTAAAGTGCGTCGGTCACAGGCAGCAGCAGAACCAGAGCGCATGCAGGAAGAGTCACTGAAATTAGTGTTTTCCAAACCCAGTCGCTCTGAGAGACTTGTCACTTAGAAAACGTTGCCTGATTATGAATCTTTGGCTGAACAGCGCTTGTTCCTGTCTCCAACGTGGCGATGCTCTGACGCATCCATGAGCCTGTCTGAAGCAAAGTCCAGAATCTCATATCCTCTTCATCTCAGAAAGTGTCTATAGAGACATTTGATTATGCACAAGCTATGTAATCAGGATATTAGACGTTCCATGTGTACAGGGGTAACTCTTTACTTGTGCATGTAAACGGGTTATCTCCAGTTTTTCAGAAAACCGAATATTGACCTTAACCCGATCACAACCTGATCCCTGGCTGCATGTAAATGTATTAAATGTTCTGCTCTAAACTTTGCATTTGGGTTTGCAGGATTTAATTATTTGAGGATTTGTTTGCATTTCGCCGAGCCTTTTCACCCTGCAGCCGATGTGGAGAGATGGACCAAATACCCCCCCCCCAGGTATGGAGAGCTGTAGCGGCCAACAGTAACGAGAATGCAATTCCTCTGAGTAGTGGATGAAAAAATATCATGAATTTAGCTCAACATGACAGAATTTTTTCTCGGGACAAGAAATAAATCCATCGTCTATACCTGCTTGTTCATGCAGGATCACAGGCGCCTGTCTCCAGCAACCTCTGGTAAAACAGGCAGGTTGCAAGGCACAGGGCAAGCGCGCGCGCGCGCACACACGCGCACACACACACAATTTAGAGAAACCAATACAGTCTTGCTTTTGGATTGTGGGAGGAAGTCAGAGTACCCGGGGAGAACATGCAAACCCCTTGCAGAAAGAGGCCAGATTGGGATTTGAACCCAGGACCTTCTTTCTGCAAAGCAATGGCACCAACCATAGCCCCACTGTGCAGCCCTGGACAAAAAATAATTACTGGTAATATTGTGGATAATAGGATATGAGCCACCTCTAGAATTAATTTAAATTATTTCACATTATTATAAATATATAATAAATAAAAGTGCTTGTGGTATATTTATCTCTAGCTCTTACCTGATAGATAGATGCACTTTCCTAACCACTACATTATTCAATTTATCTGATCATGTGACAAGCTCTTCTGTCGTACTGATAGTGGTGCTCTCACCCCCTCTGGTGGCAAAAAGTATACTACACCCAAGCAAAGCAGAAGGACGGAGCTGGCAGTTACCCAGGCAAAACAATTTTACCTGGTTACAACATTAATGACAATTAACCGGTTAACTGCGTACATCCTAATAGATAGAGACAGATGATAGATAAGTATAGATTACAGGGGTTTCCTGGTTCAAACTGAGGCAGAGGTGGTACCATCCTGACCATGCGCCAGTACATACATACCCTGTGCATTCAACTGACTCACTTTTTTTAAAGGCAAAATATTATAAAAGGCTCAATAATATGCATTAGATTGGCATTTAGTTCCCTTTTTCCCATCTGATGTTTATAGTTAAAAATATTTTTAAATTTTTGACCTATTCAAAACCCTTGGCCGCAGTGTTTCAGGAAGTAGAAATTAACCGTCAGAGAGGGGAGCGTCAGACGGCAGGTCTTATTTCCTGATATTTGGACATCTCGCCTCTGATTGGATAACAGCTAACGACTCTACCACTGACTCAGTTTTTTCTGCAATGTTGACATTTTATTTCCACAACTAACACAAGCCTGGAGGAGTTTTATTGTGTAGTGGAGTTGCTAATGCTAAAGGTTAGCTTCTACTAGTCGAGACACTCTTCTTTCCTGGACTCTAAATCATCAGCCTTCGTGTCGAGAGCCAAGATGGGCGAGTCCATGAATGTTAAGCGACAGTGTGACAAAGATCTGTCAAGATTTTTAAATACTATACTTTCACCCTCTATTTTCTATCAGAAGCTAATGCAGGAGATAGGTGAAGGAGACTATTTTCGTGTTCAGCCTGCATGAAAAACTCAAAAATCCCCCCCAAAAAAAAAACCTTTCTCTGTGAGCTTGCTCATTAACTGAAATGTAAATTATTCATTAAAATTTGTACAGAAAAGCCTGAAAACCAGGAAAAACATGTACATAATAATAAAGACAAATTTGATGGCTACCTTGCTACAACCCAGCTCAGTAACCAACAACTAAGTCAATGAGGAAGAAAGCGACTGCACAGCATATTAAGTCCAAAGCCGGGAGTACACTGTGCGACTTTTTCACTTTTTTGAGCCGATTTTCCACTCGTGTGAGAATCCACAAGATCGGGGCGAGTGTTGCGCCGAGCGTCGTGTAGTGTACAGGGGGTTACGAGAGGCGATTAACACCACGTGACCAGCTACCGATCAGCAATTGTGAGCTCGCACGGACTTCTGGAGTGTTTGATATTTTGCTCGTTCGTCGTGAGGGTTGAAGCGGCGCAGCGAGCGACTGCAACCCAAAAAGTACCAGAACCGCCCATGGCGCATGCACAATCATGCATCAACACCGCTCACCCGCTATTTCCCTAATAACACATGTTGTTTGATTTTATTTCTAAACGTTTTTTTTTTTTTTTTTTTTTTACACAGAGTGACAAGGATTGTCAAGAAAGAGTGTTTGTCGTGTTCATGTTAAATGAAACTGATCACAAAACACAGATTTACTTTATTTTGTTTTCCTCATCCAACCCCCATAAATCGCTGTGTGTCCTCCTGCAGCACTCCCGAAGGACAACAGGCAAAACAAGACAAAAAAGTCTGATGTGTTGAGTAAAAACCGCTATTTTTAGCATATATTTTTAGGGCCGACGTGTTGCTACCAGACGTACAGTGTGAGCAGTCAGGTCGCATCCGAGAACTGGGTCGTGCAGTGTGAGCACATGACTCGTGAGACCTGCCCTGCGAGGAAGTCGTACAGTTTGAGCTGAAGCGGAGTGCTACGAGTGAAAAAGTCGCAAAGTGTCCACCCAGCTTTAGACAACAGTGCCAAGAAAACCCATGATTAAATTTATTGTAAAGCTAATAAGTCAGACAAAATAAGAGTTCAGTTAATCTAAAATGGTGTATAATCGCATCAAATAAGGAGCTGCCTTTTAATAAATTATGGTTCAGCAAAGCCTAAAATAAAGATCCCGACAGAAAAAGAAAGAACAGTCGACCATGTTCTCGCTGTGGAACAAGGTGCCGGTGTGTGGGTACCTGTACATGTGGAGCGGATGATACAGTGGTCGATGTGCGGGCTGCAGTTGACCGTGATCTCCAGACAGTGGTGGGCGTTATGGTGCTGCGCTGATTTATCATCTGGATTAAACTGAATTAAGAGAAGCTGAGGTCAGATGGAGGCTGCGATTATCTGCAACGTCTCTGTTCTCCCGCTACTTCAACACACATTTCATGTTATGTTTACCTTGATGGTCATGTATCCCACATACGCATCCTCTGATCCCTCCATGAAGACAAACGTAGAATCTCTAGTATTCTCTATGATGACCTTGTCTGCTACTTTACCGGGAGCTGAGTGAAAGCAGAAACCACTCATCAAACCCCTCGTACACACACAGCTGAGTGTGTGTCCCCTTCTTAAGAGAGGTATTGATTGCACACAACAGAGGCATAAAATCTTCAGTACCACTCAGTGAAGCCAACATGCTTACCTGCACCAATCATGGTGATGGGGGACTCTATATAAATCCACTCATCTGTATAGATGCCAGAATGAACAAAGATGAGACCGTCAAAGTGGGCTTCTTGAACGCCACCCAGCGCATCCTCAATGGTGTCATAATACTGAAAGGGGAGAGACGCAACACTCAGACACATGCTTACACCTCATCAGAGGCCACTTTGAAAAAGCAAGCACAACAATGCAGAACATCAGCGATTAAGGCCTTCCACTTACCAGCATATTCTCCCTGCCTTTGTATCTGCCTGGGTTACTGTAGAAATGTTCAGCAAAGCCCGGCTTCACATGTGCACCCTTGTACTGTAACGCAGAAAATACAGGCATCAGCGAACGCTACGGCTGGCTTACAACGCTTTCATCCAAGATGGCGCTCACGCCACAAAAGTAATCCGACCCCAAACCATAATTTCTATTAATCCAAAAAATAAGTTTCTGAATAGACACAGCCGGCAATATCTGCTACACATATGGTCGATTTTAGGAAACTCGAAAGCTGAAATAACTCCATTATTTACAATGACAGTCTCAGAATTTCATCCACCCATCAAGTTTACAAGATGATTTTAAAAGCAAGCACAGAAAATAAAACAAGCACCAAAGTCACCACAGATTAAATTGAGCAAAATTCATAACCTTAATCTGCATTTTAAAAACAGGAAAAAAGGCACATGATACCTGCAGAAACTACAAAATCAATAATTTGACTTTTGAATGTTTCCATTAAATTCTAGTTGCTTAAACAAAGAGGATATCTTCTAATCAGCAACTTTAAATATTACAGCTGACCGTTTGTAATAAATGTAGCAATACCATACAAACATAATAACAACAGTTCATCTGTAGCACGCTTCATTTGCAGCTCAAAAATAAGAAACTAAAACAGATAAAAGCATCAATAAGCAAAGATTTTTATTCATGAAAATAGTAAAAAAAATTAAAAAAGGTTCAAAACTTTTTTATAAGCTTGAACTAAATTCTTTATTAATAAACAAGGGAAACTCATTTTAGAGACTGACAGCTGCTTTCTGGGGATTAAAGTTCATTAAATTAAATACAACCACTAATAACCTGCTTATTTACCAGGAACTGTAGACCTAATATGTAATAACAACAGACTTTTAGCAAGTTTATGATGCACAGATTTTTCTTTATTTGAATAAACTTAACAAGATAGATGAACTAACCAGCTGTTGGAAGCTCTCCTTCCAAGGGTTTGGATGTTCATGCTCCTCAGGGCTGACCTGGTAGAACCTGCCTGGCTCAGGATGCATCATGGGACGCGTATACTCAAACACCTCCATGTACAGTCGCTTCCTATAAGGACGACGGGGACAGCGTACAGGAAAATTATTTACTTGCCCTTTTTCTACAGAGATGAAGGTAAGAAACAAGAACAGAGCTTTCATGTGTTCAGCAGAACCCACCATAGGATAGGATCATTTGCTAGCTGGCTGAATCTCTTGCACACACAAGCTGCCTGGCAAAGGTCCTGCTCCAGTAAGTAGGAGAAAATCTTCAAAACAACCTCATCTGGAAGCTTCTGCTGCAGATATTGTTCTGCTGGGGCTGCTAAAAATACACAAGATACACAAAACCACTGTGTAAGTCTGGAGAAAAGGCAGCACACTGAACTGCAGTCATTCCATTTTATTTAGGGAAACAAAATCAGCAGACTATCAAATTAGCAAACAGTACATAATCTAACAGTTTTAACACACCTGGCAGGTCGTGGGTCTTACCGGACACTCGTGCCCGCTTGGCTCGATGACCAAAGGCATCTGTAGATGAAGTGGAAGCTCCCTAAAACAGAAAGCAAGGAGGATCTGAGCTCTTTGACCCGTGAGGAAACTCAATCCTGTATTATAATATCATCTAGAGGAGGACGTAACATTCCAGCAAGTCCTGATGTATGGCACACATTTATATTCCTCACTCTGCAGGCACACACACCATCTGCAATGACATTCACTTAAAATGCAAAGAGCTTCCGTCTAACCTCCATTGGGCCCTTGCTGGGGCAGGCAGAGGCGGTGGCAGAGGCAGCAGCGGTTCTCTTGGGAAGCAGGGTCTTACGTCGAAGCTGGTAGGGACTGTTCTGAGCACCTGGACCGGACTCTTCAATAGCCATTTCTGCTGCAGCTGCTGCAGGAGCCTCCTCATCTAAATAGAGAAAGAAAAAAACCCGTGTCTCACAGATACCACACCATCTGCAGAAGCACAAAGATGAACAAAGGTGCAGGTTCATGCAGACTGCAAAATACCAACGAAAGCAAATTTAAATAAGCCATCTCGTCTTTTCTACAATTGTTTTGTAGTCTTGAATCGCATCATACACAACTGCACACGCACTGTTATATGTTAAGCTATCATGCTCAGCGTTCCAACTACATTCAGTCTGATGGTAGGCAGACAAAGGTTGGTGATTGATAATGGCAGATGCACTTCCTGCGGCCAAAACTGCCTTCATATGTTTAGTTACTCCCAACAGACACCGACCGGTGTGCATCGGACTACTGACCATGCAGAAGCACGGTCATCTTTTGTGGTCCTGTCAAATTAGGGACACCAGAGGAAGTCAATTAGGCGTGCGGCTAATGGCTAAAAACTGAACTACGTAGCTGGTAAATCAGCGGTGTAAACAAATCCAGCAGTGACTAGCAGGCACCGGTGGTGAGGACAATCCGATAACAATGTCATCTCCAAACTACAAACCCAAGCACACAAAATGGTCCCGGTGAATTTACCTAAAGCTCACAGCTGATCGGTACGGCCTCTTGAAGCTAGAGCTGCTAATGTTTTTGTTAACGTTACACCCCAAAAATGGCAGTCCGTAAGATTTGCACCCGCAGAAATGGTTGTGACAGCTGGGAATGCAGCAGCTGAAACAGACAAGAAGCTTGTGATTAGAGAGCATTAAGTCGCTCCATTTGCCCCCCAGCTGAGGAATATGAGCCATTTAAGATGTCCATGTAGCTGCATACGCATTGCGAAGACAACCCCCAACCTCCTCCTAACCTCCGATTACTCAAGCCAAACAAAGCGCGGCCTGGCCTGAGCCACGGAGCAAAAAGCCTCGGGTTTTCCTACCTAAAGCCGCCGTGGTTAGTCCTGCTAAACAACTCGGTGTTATATAAAGTTTGGTATCTCCTAACGGGGGGATTATCGCTCATTAGCTGACCATGGCCTAGCTTACCTCTGTCCCCGTTGTTTCGTTCGAGCTGCACCGGGCGCGGCCTCGATACTCGCCTGGGTCTCCTGTTGGTGGCTCTGAGGGAGTTCATCTGGTTGTCGAAAATAGACTGCTATCCTCAACCGCCCGCTGCTAAAATGTACCCTCGACTGAAACTGCCACTCAGACAACCGTGTTTCTAGATACTAGATACAACAGCGACCAAGAACGTCCAGGAATTTGTGGCGTAAATGTATTTTTTTTTCTCCGTGGTGTCACAACTACCCCCGTTTCACCGCTCGGTGCCAGCTCCGTCTCTCTCCGTAGCAGGAGGAGCCATTAACCCACACGGGAAACAATCGCGAGAAAAAAGAGCAGAACGTCGGCTCGGCCAATCACATTTGACGTTTTATGACTACACCTTTCTGAGACCAACCAGAAGCTTTGAAACAGACGACTTAACCAAAGCCTATCTGTTGAGATTTGGAGTCGGTCAAGCGACGATTTAATCAATGAAAGCTTTGAGCATCAAAGGGTTACTCATCAATTACTCTTAGTGTAATTAATTAGCTTACTCAATTAGTGGCTAGTCAATGCAAAGAATTTTTTTTTTGCAAAATCCGATTGGCGCATACAATACTGTGTTTAAATCACATATATTATTTAAATTTTAATTGAACGTGGATACAACCTTCTTGCAATCTTGAGGTGGTTTATTTCATATTTCGACCTTTTAAAAGATCCGAAAATCTTCAGAAGAATTAATTAGCACTTGGCTAATTTTTTTCTATTTAAAACGTATTTATAAGTCTTTCTCAGTGCATGTTGAGCAGTGTGAGCTTTACAGTTTAGAGAAATAAACAAGGAAAGAACAAAAGCATGCACATCAAATCTAAAATAACCTATATCCGGTAAACTAGCAGTATCTGAGTCAATCCCACAAAATCCTAATATTTATGTTGATCCATAAGCTAGTCCTAAATGTCAGAGATTCAGCCCATGTCTTTTAAAAAGTGGTCATCATCATATTACTGCCAACAAGTTATTTATAACCAAAATAAAACTGTTTTGGTTGGCTTTAATTGCAAAACAAACTGAGGAAAAAAACCTGAGTCGATGTGACATTTTAACACAAAATAATACTTGTGAAGATTTATGTAGACCTAAAGGTAAGAATGTAAATTGAATAAAAAATAAAGTAAACTTATAAGAAGCTTATTTATATTATTATTAGTCATAGTAGCAGTATGAGTAGTAGTAGCAGTATACATGTTTTTAAAATTGTTATGACATAAACTAATTTATGTGAAAGTAAAAATATTTAACTAAACAGAGGCGTTCATTTGATCATTCAAATTTATGCATAAACTAATGAGAAAGGAGAACATAAAGAAAAATGTTCAATTTCATTTCATTTGATGATTTGTTACTTTTTTCACAGTTTGTTCTCTTGGCACTGCAGTGCACTTTCTCATGTTTTAACCCTTTCATTGGCAGGTCACCCACTTGCTAGAGCACACTTTAGTCTAGTGGTTCATAACCTGGGGTCTGAGGGAGAGATATCAGGGGGTCATCACAATTTGAGGTTTTGAGGTTATCAAAATTATTTTTGTAACCATTTCATTCATAAAATCCCAACAACCCACTCCACAGTGTAAAACAATGAACATAAGTACAAAAACTACAACTGCTATTTATTTTTATAAATGCATTTTTGTAATGAATCACTTCTAATGTGTTTACGCAGGTAGGAGTTGATGGCTTGTCTTAAGCCGGGCACACCCTGTGCGACTTTTTTACTCGTAGCATTCAGCTCCATCTCAAACTGTGCGACTTCATCCTCACGGAGCAAATCTCGCGAGTCATGCTCTCACACTGTACGACCCAGTTTTCGGATGTCGACCAGACTGCTCACTCTGTAGCTACGTCTGGTAGCAACACGTTGGACCTAAAAAATACTTAAAATAGCAGTTTTTACACTACATGCCAGACTTTTGTATTGTGTTGTCCCCATCACCATATATATATATATATATATATATATATATATGTATATATATATATATATATATATATATATATAGGGTTGTCCCTTGGGATTGCTGTATGGGGTTGGAGGAGGAAGTTGAAAGAACGTAAATCAATTTTTTGCCAGCTTAATTTGACATAAATAAGGCAAACATGCTTTCTTGACAATCCTTGCTGTGTGTGAAAAAAGTCTTTAAATAAAAATGAACGGCTTGTGCTAATAGGGAAATAGTTGGCGAGCCATGTTGATGCATGTTTGCACAGGCGCCGTGAGCGGTTTTGGCACTAGTTGGGTCGCAGTTGGTCACAGAGTGCTGCTTCAACAGTGCAATGCCTTCATGATCAACAAGCAAAACATCAAACACGACATAAACTCGCACATGTTTATGATTGCCGATTGGTAGCTGGTCACGTGGTGTTAACCACCTCTCGTAACCCCTGTATACTACACGACGATCAGCGTAAAACTCACTCTGATCTCATAGATTCTCGCACGAGGGGAAAATTGGCTCAACAAAGTAAAAAAGTCGCAGTGTAAGCCAGGATTTAGACACAAAAGAGGGTCCTCAAGAAAAAAGGTTAGGAACCACTGCTTTAGTCCAAAAGATGGTGTCTAAATAAAATGTTTAACATTCTTACCAAAATTAGTTTTCTCCACAGGGTGGCTGGACTCTTCCTTAGAGATAGGGTGAGCATCTCGGTCATCCGGGAGGGGCTTGGAGTAGATTTGCTGCTCCTCTACATCCAGAGGAGCCAGTTGAGGTGGCTCAGACATCTGGTTAGGATGCCTCCTGGATGCGTCCCTGATTAAGTTTTCTGGGGACGTCCAACCCGGAGGAGGAACAATGTTTCTCGTCTGGCCAGGGAACACCTTGGGACTCCCCTGGAGGAGAGGGCCCATGTAGCTGGGGAGAGGGAAGTCTGGGCGTCTGCTTAGGCTGCTGCCCCCATGACCCGACTCTAGATAAGTGGATGAAAATGGATGGACATTGTTACCTTGTACTACCATTATCTCAATATCAACATTATTGTTTTCATGCATACTTTATTTGACCTAATTGTATTACAACCGTTACTTCCACATTATGGGATGGGTGGCTTTCTGTTGAGGGCCATTCAGTCCCTTTACCAGAGGAGCGTGAGTTTGGTCCGCATAGCCGATAGCAAGTCGGACCTGTTCCCGGTGAGGGTTGGACTCTGCCAGGGCTTCCCTTTGTCACCGGTTCTGTTCATTACCTTTATGGACAGAATTTCTAGGCTCAGCCGTGGTGTGGAGTGTGTCGAGTTTGGTGGCAGGAGAATCTCGTCTCTGCTTTTTGCGGATGATGTGGTCCTCCTAGCTTCATCCAGCTCTGACCTTCAGCTCTTGCTGGGTAGGTTTGCGGCCGGGTGTGAAGCGGCTGGGATGAGGATCAGCACCTCCAAATCTGAGATCATGGTTCTCGACCGGAGAAGGGTGGCTTGCCAACTCCGGGTCGGGAGAGAGGTCCTACCTCAAGTGGAGGAGTTTAAGTATCTCGGGGTCTTGTTCACGAGTGAGGGTAGGAGGGATCAGGAGATCGACAGGCGGATTGGTTCGGCGTCTGCAGTGATGCGGACGCTGAGCCGATCTGTCGTGGTGAAGAGGGAGCTGAGCCAGAAAGCCAGGCTCTCGATTTACCGGTCGATCTACGTCCCAATCCTCACCTATGGTCATGAGCTTTGGGTAATGACCGAAAGAACGAGATTGCGGATACAAGCGGCCGAAATGAGTTTCCTCCATAGGGTGGCCGGGCTCAGCCTTAGAGATAGGGTGAGGAGCTCGGACATTCGGGAGGGACTCGGAGTAGACCCGCTGCTCCTCCGGATCGAAAGGAGCCAGTTGAGGTGGTTTGGGCATCTGGTCAGGATGCCTCCTGGACGCCTCCCCAGGGAGGTGTTTCGGGCATGTCCTGCCGGCAGTAGGCCCCTGGGTCGACCCAGGACACGTTGGAGAGGTTACATCTCCAATCTGGTCCGGGAACGCCTTGGGGTCCTGCCGGAGGAGCTGGTGGAGGTGGCCAGGGTGAGGACGGTCTGGAGCTCCCTAGTTGGGATGCTGCCCCCGCGACCCGGACCCGGATAAGCGGAGGAAGACGACGACGACGACTTCCCCATTAAACATAAATCGTAAAATTTAACAAAAGTTCATTTTTTTGCGCGCGCGCGCACACACACACACACACACACACACACACACACACACACACACACACACACACACACACACACACACACACACACACACACACACACACACACACACACACACACACACACAACTTTGCTTTGAGACTTGGAGATTTTTGACTAAAATAATTTAAGTATATGCAATTTTTTTGTTTTGTAAGCAACTGCAATCGTGGATTCATTGTTTTTTTGTAAAAGTAGTTAAGAAACACTTTTGGTATTTATATCCTATAACCACTAGGGGGTGGTATTTAGCTGCAAATGATCTGACAGGGGTCAGCAAGGCTTAAAGACAAAACAGAACATAGTCTGCCATTGCTTTCTATTCTTTCCTTCTTTTTTAAATCTAATTAGTAAAAGGCCCAACAATAACAGTGATGCTTTGTAATCAGTGAAAGGCATTGTAGAATTTAGCATCATCATTTACACATAGTGGTGATTACTCTAAATAGGAACAAATAGAACATATAAGTCTATAAATTTTGCCCGAATTAAAATGCTTTGTTGATTTATTTTATTTATGTGTGCTGCTGTTCTAGTGAAGCATCTTCTTTTTCAGCTAATTTTTTTAAAAAGTCATCTTTTATAAAACTGTGCTTACCTGTTCGTAAGTATTTGCTTACAAATTGATGCTGATTAAAGTGATTGAGGTATTTCTCACAGCCCAGTGGACCATACTTATAATTCAAAAGCACCATAATCCCCTAGTGGTTTTGTTGTAAAACTGCATCCACATATTAACAGTGTAGGAGGCAGTGCATCCATATCAAAAGCAGACTCAGATTCTTCCTTGCAGCTGCAGCCTTGAAACGCTGTTTCTGTCAAGTGTTTCTCTAAGTCTTATCTCGCTGCTGTATCCATCCTTGGGTAATAAGCAGAATGAGCAGCTGCCTTTCCTCCTGCATCCTGCCAACCAACTTCATTGCTTGCAGCAGACGTTTGTGGGGGTCACTTTGTCCTTGGAAGCTTTGGATGAGCTGAAGGACATCGTTACCAGATAAAGATGCTTCTATTATTTTGTGTTTTTGAGAGAGATCTTTTCACTACATACACGCAGGAAGTCAGGCTTGTGAACAACTCCACAGAACGACACACTAAACATTTATTTTGTATAAAACAAACATATTTCAAACATGATTACATAACCCTCATTTAGAGAAGTAAAAGAAACCAATAGGCTGGAGAAGATAAGAAGAGCTTGCAGGCAGAGTGTATGAGGAGGTTAAAAATCAGCAGTTCTCTGCAGTGTTCTTTTTTAATAAATATCACTCAATGATTACATTAAATATTGAGATAATGTTGCATTTTTGATGTGCACCCACAAAGTTCCACATGTAAATCTTTAATCCAACAGTTTCTGCTTGCAGCATTATCTCTAGACACCAGATTTTTTACATAAAACAGACGATGAAGTCACCAGTTTACTACTTCCACTTTTCTACTTTAAACAGTCATTTCAATGGGATCTCCACCCATCTGATAGTGTAATCAACCTGGAACAACAACAACTGAATTTAGGCCAGCTAGGCAACCCAGATTTACTAATTATCTGTGGTTGTTGCATGTTGGTTGAATTTTTACTGTTCAAACACCTTTTAAGTGTTTTTTGTAGTGAATTGGCCTAAAAAGTAGACTGTTTCCCAAATTTGCTGTTAGAGCTTACAGATTTAAATGATCACAAATAATGTAAGCAAATTATAGTTAGGCATTGAAAATAGAAAGAAGACCAAAAATCATGAGTGGTGAGGTTAGACATGATTTAGCCACCTGTTTACATGTCCCAATGCATTTTGAACTGACAACTTCTGCAAACACGATTAGTGAAGTTTAATGGGACTTCTCAGCAATCCATTAAAAGTCTTTAGATACCTTAGCGACAGTCAGAACTCTTGTTTCCCATCTAAGATCAGCGTATTGGCCAAGGAGTACATCACCCGACTGCTCTTTGGAGAGGTCCATGTTGGCTGCTGACACGAGGAAGTCTCTGTTCGGTAAATTTGCGCCTGAGTCTTAAACAAACCAAAGCGAGCTGCAAGAAGAAAAAAGTCTCGTCTGAAGGTGCGGGTAAAGAAACCATACAGGAAAGGGTTGGAGCACGAGTTGATGGGATAAAAAAAGACCAAAAGGAGTTTCGAGTCTGAGACGGTGATGAGGGGGAGCTTCAGGGCAGCCGAGATGGCGAAGAATGAGATCGGAACCATGCAGACAAAATCAGTGAAGATGAGGATGGCCATGCGTTGAGCCACTCGGGTGTCAGCGTGGGCTGGTGCCGATGAAGGCTTGCGGTAAGTCAAGTAGATGCTGAGGTAGCAGCCACACACGCAGACGAAGGCCAGGATGTTGAGGAGAAGGAGAGAAACCACGTAGACCTGGGACACTAAAGACTCCACATCCATTGGAAGGCAGATACTCACCTGGAAAGAGACACGTGATCTATAAATACAATGAATTTCACATTGTTTACATGTGTGAGGCTATGTATAGAGGCAAAGGTGTCGAGAAATATAGTACAAATACTTTGTTACTTTCTTGAAGTGAAAATGTGTTTTTTCCCTGGCGATAGGGGGCAGTACATAGTGTTCGAGTAAGACCTTACCAACGGATGGCCATTAGGGTCAAAAATCCCTGAGAGCGCAACTTCCAGCAAAATAACAAGCATATTAGACTCCCTTTCATCACTGGCAATGAGCGAAGAGTTAAATGTGTAAAACAACAGTTATGAATGGCTAAAGTTTTGTAGCCATTTGTTAAGAATCAGTAAATACAATTCATCCTCAGGGGCTTCCGTACAAGGAAACATGGCATCTAATATGGCGTCACCCAGATACTAAGATCCGCGCCAATGTATTTTAGACCCGATTATTATGGTTATATCTCTGCAAACAGTCAACATCACATGGACGTGCAGATCATGTCTATATTGAGTCCGTTGGTCCAGACCACGTCTGTAGGACGTCCAAACTAGGTTTTTGCACAGTGGGATGTTACGAAGCCATCAATTTTTTTTCAACATTTGGACATCATTTAATTCATTTTCAACATTTTGATAGATATTTCCAGAGATTAGTGGTAAAATTATATATATTTAATTAAATAATATATATAATTGATTAAAGTGGAAATTTTGGGTATACCTCAGTGACTTTTCATTTTTACTCCTTACACTTTCACAAAATTATCTATACTTTCTACTCCTTGTGTTTTAAAAATGATACTTATATTTCATTTTGGGTCTTTAGTGTTAAAAAACACAAATATCCATATTAACCGTAGCATCCAGTTAGACTGAATTCGACTGCAGTCGAAAATTAACTTTAAACCTATCATTCTGACACTTTATTGGTTTGTACGTGATCCATCACACACACAAACCATGTCACCGTCCCACCAAGGCATTTATTAATCTTTGACAGAAATAACATATATTATATAAAGACAACTATACAACGGTATTCGGTACTAGGCTGCCAATTTTCTCCTTCAGTTTTGTCACCTGTGGCCTTCACAGACTCTTGCAGCTGCCGGATGTACATTCCAGCAAACATCGATGATAAGCCCGCCTTTAAACTTTTACTTTGTGCACCATTAAAATTCTTATAGACAACTAGTAAAACCCCACAAAACACGTGTGCCCCACATGTTGTTCTTTAATGTATTTGGATAGCACTAAAATGGATCAGTGTCCAAAGGGCACACAACATTTTCAACATTACAATTTTTATATAACATTATAGTCATTATGGCCATTGCTAAAAAATATTTATTTTCTTGGCAGGCATGGCTTAGCTTTTGTCATTATTAGCTTTTTTTAATGTATACTTTGTCTTTTATGCTTTAAGTAGTTTTGAAACCAGTACATTTAAAATTTTAATCAAGTAAAAATCTTTAATGGATACTTCTACCTCTACAACATTTTTTTTAACTCCAGTATCTATATTTCTACTTGAGTAATGAATGTGAATACATTTGACACCTCTGTATACATGCTATCAAAGGAATACTGAATGGGAAAAGTAATAGTTAGGGACCATAGACATGACCTCCAGTATAGACTAATTACAGACTAAAATAAATCGAAGCACCCTCTCAACCTTGAGAGAACAAAAAAAACAAAAACAGTGTTCACCTGTTTTACACAATGAGTATCTAAATGAGTGTTTATTTTCTCGCCTTTAGAAGAACGAGTGTCAGTCATTTTCATTGTTTTTGTTCAATTTCAATCAGTATATCTCTTCTTTTTTAGTCTCTTTTTATCAGTTTTGAGTTTAGTTTTTAATTTTAATGTTTTTTAATGTTTAGTCTATTTTGACTCATTCGGACACGCAAATGTGGCTCCTTGCCACGAGTTTAATCCCATCTCATGAACATATGTTTAAAATGTTGATTTTTAAACATCACCAAACAGTTGACACAAATATTTAATATTGCTTTTGTGATTTAGCCCTGCTTTGAGTAAGACTTTTAGAATGTATGCTCAAAGTAAGTGCACACCTGAAAACACTTTATTGGTAACACTTTACAATAAGGGTATCTGAATTAACATTACTCAGTGAATTATTAATCATTAATAAACTATTAAATAAAGTATTAACAATTGTTTACTATCAATGTTCATGTTACGTAATGTATTACTAAGCAGACAACCCCTGGCCCTTTGCCCTAACCTTAAAGAGACAATGTGTAGTTTTTATCGTTAATCTCTGGAAACATCCATCGAAATGTTGTTGAAAATGAATTAAATGAGGCCCAGTTGTTGAAAAGTATTAGCGGCTTCGTGTCATATAACCATAAAAATCCAGTCTAAAATACATGGGAGCGAGTCTTAAAGCTGGGGTACACCGGAGACAGATGCGCCACGCCGCGGAAGTGCCACGGCTTTGGGAAGTCACATGATCACAGAGGACTCACCGCACTACTCCACACCACTGAGCACTTCTTGGAAAGTCGCACGATCGTCAAAACATCATGCAGGACTTGAGAACAGGAAGCGGAAAGTGACTCTCTTGTTTCTACGTGATCAGACTTGCCGTCGTGTTTTGAGAGACTCAAATTCATTAAGTACTCTATTTATTATGTTTTAAGATCAATAGTACTTTAAAGTTACCGATACTGCAATTGGGTTTGTGCCGTAAAGCCGTTCTGCTTCATAATGTCTGTTGTAAAGTGCTCCACAATGTTGTAAACAGCTGCTGCACTTGAAATAGAACTGGAAATCTGCAATGTTTAATTATGCATAAAAATGCACTAAGTAACATTAGTAAATGAACCCTTATTGTAAACTGTTACCATTTTATTTAAAATAAACCAGCCCATGGTAGACTGTGATTTATTTTTTGTCAATCAGGAACATTATATTTCATTTTTGGATTTTGGGTTGAAAACAAAACAATGCAATTGTCTAAGAAGAATATGAAGTTCATTTGTAACCTTTTACATTTCAAAAATGTTCTTGTTTTGACATGCCTTCCTAATGACTTCTATCCTGTCCTAGGGGTAAACTGCCATCCCCGTTGGTGGGTGAATGTGAGAGTGAATATGAATAATGGAAAGCTCTTTGAGTGCCTAGAAAAGCGCTTTATATAAATCTATTAATATTAAACTTGTTTGTGATGTTTAAAAAAACCTACGTTGGTGAAAATGTCAAAATAAGAGTAAAACACACTTGCAGTGTCTGATATTGTCAAAAACTATGCAGGAATCCAACAATTTTCCTAACAACTTCTTTTCCAACACTGATACTGAAGCAGCTTCCTGCTTGGGCAGCCAAGCTCACACAGCAGCAGGGTCTGTGTTTTATACCTTCATGTGACTGATCAATCAAGTAAAACATGAAGTTTAATTAGTTTAGTTTTTAGTTTTAAACCAACCAGTGAATACTACAAATAAAAAAAAATCCATTGATTCTTATCCGAAAAAGACCTGATGAGTCATTTTTAATGCAGTCTATGCTGCTTATACTCTCGTAAGCTTTATTCTCAGCTGTGGCGAAGCGCTGATCTAAATCGGTGTCTGCCAACTTCAGGATGAGTGATCTTTTAGTTTTCTATCATCTGAAATGGCAAAAACGTTCAAAACACACAACAGGACATGAGAATGGAAAACTGGTTAGAGCAAACACGGATATAGTTTGCAGCACTACAGCCTGCACATGTTTTTAGCGAGCCCTGCTGAGTGACTGACTCTTTTGACAAGCCATCCTGCTGCGCTTTTGATCTGAAGCGGAGAAATAAATGCAATGTTTCCTGACTCAGGGTGTAATCATGTTAAAACGTAGTGATCTCAGGAAAAAAGAATAATAGTGTTTATAGACCTTTATTTCATAACCAAGCCCCACTTAAACAAGACCACCAGATTCAATGTGTGTAATAGTAATAATAGTAGTAATAATAATAATAATAATAATAATAATAATAATCTACGTACTTTGCTGTAACTGCTGACCCCAACTGTGGGCAGCAATGCTGCCATCAGCGAGAAGATCCATCCTGCTGTCATGATGATGCAGGCGTGCCTCATGCGGAGTTTCCGGTCGAGCCGCAGAGCATGTGTGATGGTGTGCCAGCGCTCTACAGTGATGGCCGTTAATGTGAACACTGACAGCTCACTGGCAAACACCTGCAAATCATTCTGGTTAAATCTCTGACATTGATGAGTGTCGTCATTAATGTGTGCTGTCAACCCCATGTGTGCACGCAGACCGTGAAAAATCCCGCAGCATTGCAGCCGAGGCCGGTTTGCCAGTCGATGGCATGGTTGTAGTACCGGCCATGAGTGAAAATGTCCACGGTTGCTATGACTACCAGGTAGATGCCCATGCAGATGTCAGCAAAGGCCAAGTGGCACATGAGAAAACGGGGAACAGTCAACTTGGAGCGGCTGCCTATTTACAGTGCATGGGAGAAAGAAAACTTTGTAACACTTCATGAAAATTCCAGAGTGTGAATCCTCTGACTTGTGAACATTTTACCTAACAACACGAGGAGGACCACTGCATTGCCCAGCAGAGCAAGGACAGAGATGATCCAGATGAGGATCCGCAGGAGGACAGGAGACATGATGTCCTCACACGGGTTAAATTTGTCTGGTGTCGGGCTGCAGGTGATGGAGGAGTTGGAGCAGTAATCCCTTTCAAAGCCAGGGTTGTACTTCACATCAGGGTGGTCACAGAGGTAGTGGCGCTTAGATCTAACACACAACAACACACAAGTGTGGCCCTTGTGAACAAAACGGCAGATTTAAAATCGAGCAACTAACTTATATTATATAACCTTGCAGCAACTAGACAAGTTATGACTTAGCTACTTCCCCTGTCTGTACCTGTTTCTGTGCACGTGTATGAAGGCACAGCAGTGTGATGGGTATGTCAGTTTGGCCTCCTGCAGCTGGGTAAAGTGCTGCACAGGAGGAAGCTTTTTCAGCTGGTACGCAGACTCAGCCACCAGCTTCTTCAGACCTCCAAGGACTCTGGAATCTGGCAGAGAGCTGATGGAGGTCTGAGAAATGTCCCTGCAAAGGACACACACACACACACACACACACACACACACACACACACACACACACACACACACACACACACACACACACACACACACACACACACACACACACACACACACACACACACACACACACAAGGTGAACCAAATAGGACAGCAACTTTTTTTTTTTGGTTTGGATATTCTTTCCAGTGATTTCACCTAAAATCCCCGTTGTAACATTTTCTGACAACATATGCATCACTTTTCCTGGGTCTGTCATCTGGTCTCCTCCCAGTGATCTGGGCCTGGTAAAGATCTCGAGAGGGGGAACCAAGAACATTCCTGATCAGATGCTCAAACCACCTCACCTGTTGAGGCAAAGGGGCAGCGACTACGCTCTGAGCTCCTCCCAGATCTCATCGACTGCGTCTGGCCACCATAAGAAGCTAATTGAAGCCACTTTTATCTGGGTCTTAAAGTCATGAGTTAAATCTAATGACCATAGAGTGAGGAATGAAATGATGACTGCACAGTTAACTGAGACCTTTACTTTTTTTCAGATTCATCTTCATCCAAAACCTGGAGCAACACCCTCACAATAAAGAACGTTGATCCAACCTTCACTTATGAACTAGACACCAAGAAACTGAAACTCGTCCATTTGAAGCAGAAACTCACCTAGTTTGGAAAAAATGCCACCCTTGCCCCACCCCCACCCCCGACAGTCTTTAACCATGGCCTTAGATTTGGAAAGCCATCTCTCATCACAGCCACTTCCCTCTTGGCTGTAAACCATCCCGGTGCACACAGAAGGCCATAGCTTAAAGACACCCTCCTCCATCAGGACCTCTAACAGACACAGCGCTACCTGGGAGTCCGACCTAAGCTCAGAACAAACCTGACTTGGTGACAGTATTGTGGACTCTCACAAGTGACCCCAGCACACCATACGCCCACAGAAAGACTTCGGGACATGGCAGAGAACGTTATAATTTTAGTTGATGAAATGTGAATAAGCATCTTTCTTTGGACACCTGATTTCAGAGTTTTGGTAACAAGCCAGATAATTGCTAAACTAAATATAAATAAAAAAATAAAAGAAACTTTTATTTGTTTTAAAAGTTGATACTGTTTGATTGCCGAGTTAACTAATGTTAAAAATCTTTTAGTTTGATTACAGCTTCAACAAAAAAAGAGAAAGGTTGAGCAAATAAAAGTCATTAAAAATGTATTGTCTGATCTCCCTCTGCATTTGAGATTGTTTTCTTATTCTTGAGTTTAACAGGTGATGATGAGGAGGATGAATCATATTAGAGATGCTTACAGAAACACCAACCCACTAGAACCCACAAAGGCGTCTGGACTGATGTGAGTAAGCTGTTTGTTTCCTCTCAGCAGCCTGAAGGGAGAGTGGAAAGAGTTAAATTATATAAGAATAAATACCTGAAAGCTCATGTTTGGAATTGTGCGTGCCTGTGACTCACAATCTGTGCATCTTTGTTCTGTTGAAGGCGTCATTTGCCACCTCCTTGATGCCATTTCTGGCGAGCCGTCTGTCATCAGTGAGAGAAACCAAAAAGGACGGTCACGTACATCAGAACGGTTCCAACAGAAAACTTCTCTGAGCCGCCGCCAAATTTAGTGTGTGCACTTCTTTTTGTTCCCACAAGCCAAAGCTGTGCAAACACACAGGCTATTTGTCAACCAATGAGTGAATTACTACTGTCTTTGTCAGTTGCTCTTTCTGTTTCTCAGTTTTTCTTCTTTCTAACAGATGGGATGATAAAATCGTTGGCGAGATTTTGAAACAACCAATCCCATGGATGCAGACAGCGCCCCGCTCATCCCACCGCAGGGCAACAAACGCAAAGCAGACGAGACACAAAGCAAACAAAAAACATGCAGACATGATTTATGGTGGTTTTGTACACCCACCTACACACTACCAGTGTTTTGCACAATTTTACATGATTTTAAATCTTTTTATGGCAGTTGTTCATCATGTCTGGATTTGTGGATGTGTTCTTTTCATTTTTATTTCTGTTCTTGTTTTTTTCTTTTCAAAACAAATTTTTTTCTATTTTTGGTCACATTCTAAACCGTTTGCACCTTTTGTTCTGCCTCTTTTCAAGGTGCAGCTTGAAGGCTACTGAAGGACTGTGTGATCATGTTTTACATTAATGTGGATGTTGTAAACAAACAAGCAAACAAACAAACAAACAAACAAACAAACAAACAAACAAACAAACACAAAAGAACCCCCTCCACACACATTTGGCAGGAAATGAAGAAATGTCAGGTTCTCAAAGATTATTCAGTTAAAACAAAAAAACAAGTCAGAAACTTGGTTTGTGCAGAATCTCATGGTGTCATTATCACACTATTTATTTATTTATTTATTTATTTATTTATTGTCTACATTTCATTAATATGAGTGCTGGAGTTGAAAAGGTAAAATTTGCTCCCTGTTTCTGCTAATCACAACTTTTATCCCAATTGTTATTATTATTGTTAATAACAACAACAACAACAACAACAACAACAACAACAATAATAATAATAATAATAATAATAACATTTGTGCTTCTAATCTGTTTAACCAATGTAAATGCATCATGATTTTTTAGGTTTAGATTTAATAGCAAAAACCAGACGGATGACAAAGTACAATATTTATATTTTTCATGCCTTTTGCCACATTGATGCTGCAAGAAAAAAAGTTTCAAACATGCATGCAAACAGAAATTGAGCCTTGCTTTTCTAAAATAAAAGTATTTTTAGTCGTCAGTATGACATGGGACTCGTGGAGGAATTTTTAATGATTATTTTTGTAAGTATCTTAATGCATTTAACCATCTAAAGTATTACTAACTCCAGTTTGTAATGCAATTCAAGAAATGTGCATCCCTGAGATTTACACCCCCTCCCAAAAATATAAAGAACAAGTCAAGACATATTCATGAATAAATCATAATGCTTCTGTCAAAAAAATTTGTGATATCTCAGATGCCTGAGACAGAACAAAGTAAAACCCTTTTCACAGACAATCTGAATGTTTTATAAGAAGAAGATTAATTTCTTACATTTCTTTGATTGTTTCAGTGCAGAGGCCTCTGAAGGCGTTGGCAGGAACTGTTTCAATGTAAATGTTGTCTTCCATGTTACTGTAAAACACAGAGTTAAAAACATAAAGAAAAAGTAGAAAGAAGAGAAATAAGTAATTTTTTGATCGAAAAACAGCAGAGACATTTATTCTTATGGGGCCAAAATATAAAAATGTGTCTCCCATCCACAATGAAACTTACTTTCCTATTGAAGTCAAGCTGTCAGATAAAAGATAGTTTGAATATAGATTTTCAGAAACCGAACGCGATAGAGATTCATCCTTTATGCTGTAGATAAGCTGCTCTCTGAGGAGCCCTCTATATGTGAACGTTTTGTCTGCGTTCTTCTATGTTTGACACGTGATGTCCTCGGGGTCCTTTTAATTCTGTGTCCGTGTGGGAGCTTCGGTTTGTGGGCGCCTTTCTGAGCTGGTGGTTTATTTCTATCATGAGCTCTGACACCTACAGCTGAAAGTCTCGGGCTGCAGAGCCAATCTTGGAGAAGTCTGGAAGAGTTCTCAGGCCGTTGTTGGAGAAAGTCCTAGAAAAAAAAAAAGACTTAAGCAGCAAAAATAGCTTCGGTCACATGGTAACTTCAGGAAACCTCACGCTGTTTGATCAATCCCAAGTCAGTGTAGTATCTCTGTAGCAAATCAGCTGTGGGAATGTTTGACTGAATTAAATGATATTAGAGATAAATTTAGTTTGTCTGTGTGTTGATGTAAAAATATTAGCCGATCCTTACAATGTACTCAGATTACACTCAACAACTGATGAATTATTGTTGATACTTTTTAGGACCCTGTTGAAATGGTTAAAAACACAACAGAAGGTGATGTTGGATTTCTATTTACGAGTCACAAACTTCTCAAAGATCACCAAACTGGTTGGTTTATTTCTTTGGCACTAAAAATATTTGTAGAGAATTTTTTGGGAACTCACCCGCTATGCCAAAACCTTTTACTTGGAACAACACAAATCATTAAATAAAGGTTGATCAGATGTTTTATCCAGCCTCAAAACAAGTTTTAAATCTATGTATAAAAAATGAACTATAGCCTGTTGCCTGTGAATCTGATCCAAAGTAAGAAGAACTTGTAAAATTGATCAAGTTTATGTTTTTTAGCATCAGAAATATGAACAATATGTTTGAAAAACTAGAATCTATTTACAGTTCATAGATTAAAGCAGATAAAGTGGGCAAAAGTGATTTGTCATCATCAGAAATATATTACTCTGTAGAGATTTCCCATGTTTAGTCCAGATTTTCTGATGAGTCTGTATGGAGTTAATACTTTTTATAAATGAAGTCTCTGAGTGAGCAGACATCTATTGACTTTCTATTGGGAAGAGAACTTTCATGTCACAGTGCAAATGCAAAACTCTGAGCATCATATCTTGTATGTCCCCACCGTGTTTCAAGATGGCGCTTGACTATGGAGAGTCGATTGCAGTTAATGGATATAAAAATATAAAATTTCAAGCCTATAGGAATATTTAGAATATACTGTTGTGATAAATACTAATACAAAAGGTCAAATTTGTGAACGGATACACATAATTTGATAGTAAACAAGTAAAAATATTACACACTGCACTTTTAAGTACAGTAATTATGCACTTGTACTTTGTTACATTAGAAAACTGTTAAAACACGGAGATATTTGATCAAGTATTTAGTCATCTAAATTTGTAATATCAAGTCATAACTTAACTTTATAGATATTTTGAAAAAAAAAGTTGAACTAAGAGGCTCAATTTGCTCTTTTTGCCCCCTGAAAGACTTCAGCACGGAGGGGTGACAAATTGTGGAATAATTTAAGCTTTTAATTATAGTAAAACTTCCAACATATTACATTTAAATTAGCTTTCAGACGTGTTGGGTTTGGAAAACCAGCTTCCAGAGAGTGATTTATTTCTTGTTGCCACTCTGGTGTCCTTGTTTAAACAAATAGTTTAAAAATATATTTAGTCGCCACACTGCGTTCGGTTTATGTGTCCCATTTCTCACAAATTGGGCCAAGCACAACAGGAGTGACGACGGCATCCCTGAGGGGTTTCAGCCATGCGCTGAATCTTATAAATGGTTATTTGGAGCTTGTTTCTAAAGATAAAATCTATCACATTGTTTGGACGGCACCAGCGTTACAAGGATGGGTGAGTAATGCCATGGGGAAGAAACAGACCACTCTTTTGTTTTTACAGTTGTTGATGAGTGACCCTTGATTTGCCATTAGTAGGAGGGGTTCAGGCTGATGAAATAATCCTGGATCTGGTAGTTTGGGTCAACAGAAGTAGGCCTGTCAACCATAACCTATTTAGAACTCACCACTGGCTGGAAAAACCAGAAAATATTCATCGCTGCAGCACTACTCACAAACGTCGGAGGTTCATGGTGTTGGCGAAAGCATCGGGATGAATGGATCTCAGGTTTTTTGACAATGAAATGGTTCTGAAAGAAACACATTCAGTCACACATTTAATAACAGTTGCAGGGTTTCACGGCTGCCTCTATCCCGCCAGATGGACTTACATCTCCGTGAGCTCTGGGAGGTTGGCGAAAACAAAAGCTCCAATATTCACTAAAGCAGCGTTTTCAAACACGTAACTGCAGCAAACAGAGGACACATTTAAGATTCATTTACACCTTTTATTGGACATGTTTAGTCTTTCATCATCTGCCATGAGGCCTCTCAGAATCTTCAGCTCTACTTGTTCCGAGACGGAGACTAAACACACACACACATGCCAGTGTTTGGGGAAAAAAAGAGCAACACTGCTTTTGAAAATGCGTCTACTCACACGCTGGTGAGCCGAGGGAGATCGGCAAAGGCGAACGAATCAAAACTTTGCAACTTGGAGTTCTGAAGTATGGAACTAAAATAACATGAAAACAGAGTTCATAAATGTTTAATGTCTTATTCAAGCTTCAGTGGAAAACTAGGCAAGAGATTTTAGTAATTTTGTAAAATGCAAAATGAGAATTTTAACAAAGAGATTGGCGTTGCAGCTTGTGGTCAAATTAAGACGAAATATGCATTTAATGGAAACATTTTCATCTAAAACTTTGGTATTTGTGCTAAATTAGATTGTCCAGAATGAAATATTTGGGTGGCTTTTCGAGTTTGAAAATGCGAAAAGGCCTTTTTTCATTAATTGATGACTTTTAGAGGTTTAATAGTTTCCAAAAATATAAAAAAGCATATTATTTGCCAAAAGCGAAAAGAAAATTACTGACATAAACTAACGTGTAAAATGAATGAACAAAAATAATACATAGCTAATGCAAACAAATGTTCTGTTTTTTTTTTCATAAACAGGATTTTTGCTTATCTTAAAAGATCATATTTCCAAATCAAATCAGTTCAAATCAAATCAAAAACACAAAGCAGAACGACACTTACAGTATTCTGAGATGCTGGAGGTGCTTAAGGGCGTGAGGAGGAATCTCTTCTATCTGTGTGTGATTTATTTCCCTGTTCATGAAGAAACAGATTAATTCTCAGAAATGCCCCAAACACAGGGATGCACATAGTAGAGAACTAATGACTTATAATATTTGTGTGGAAATGGATGCAGCAGTTTCATATTTTCATCTTTCTGAATGATAAACGAGGCCAGGGGTTTCTTTTCATGCAGGAAATGAACTATTTTGTGCTGAGAACGTGCATGAAACATCCAGAATATTTCTGCTTCTGCCTTTTGTAGATCGCTGCATTCTTATTAATTTCCCAACTGTTCCTGAGCCTTGACCTTTGAGCGGAGCGGAACAGACGAGAACACACACGTCGCCACCTGGGAGTTCACTTTACATCTGCTGGAATTAACCGCCCTGTCGCTGCCTGTAAGTGTGTACCCTTACCCTGATTGTGTTTAGATAAATTGTTTATGTTCATTCTGTTGCTTCAGGTAATTTCCCCTAAGCTACAATTCTTCTTTCTTCTCAAGGTCTTGAGCTCCATTATAGGAATGTTTCTCTGGTAATCTTTAGCTCTGTGCATCAGTATGCATGTGGGGAGAAAGTAATCCTTGAAACTTTTGATTGACAAGCTACTGCAGTCCCAACTCTCCTCACCCTAGAGGATGTAGGTGCGCAAAATTCACTTTAATACATCTTCTTTCTGTCTTACAGAACACATTTCACACAAAAATGAGCTTTACCGATAAACTTTTTCTAATTTCTGTTACTTAACGAGGTCAAATTATTAAATTTCTGTTAGCAAAATAACTCATTGATCCACTAGATGCTTTCTACTGAAACTCAGGAACGCATCATTGCACTAGAATCCACCTTTTGAGTCAGCCGTATTCCAAATGGCTGCCACAGCAAGCGGAAATGACCACAACAAGCCTGTCAGAGTCGTTCAAAGATAGAATAAATTCAGCCATAATGGTTACATGTTTTTGGATTGTTTTGACAAGCAAATAAAGCACATTTTAGTCCTTCTATCTTATTGAAGCTGTAAATATGTCATGAGCTTAGTTAGTTCAGTTGAGTTCATCTCAGCACCACATTTGTGCATTTTGCACGCCTGCTTCTTTTCATTTTGGTTCCTGGATTTTTACTTTGAAATTACCCTGCCTGCCTAGAAAAATACAAATCTAGTAGAAATTCTACAAGAGCATGTGTGTGTGTGTGTGTGTGTGTGTGTGCTACAAAAATACCCTAACTTTTCAAAACTCACTTGATGATTACATTATATCACAAATTGTATTGGTCCAAAAGGCAAGGCAGCTTTATTTGTATAGCACATTTCATACACAGAGGCAACTCAGTGTGCTTTCCATTAACAGGAATAGCACAAGCATTAAAATCAGTGCAACAGCACAATTGAAATACACAAATAAATTTAGACCAAATTAAATACACAGATTAATTTCAGATGCAGCACCAATCCGCCTATCGATCACACGCTCCAGTTTTCCCTCACTCATGAACAAGACCCCGAGATACTTAAACTCCTCCACTTGGGGCAGGACCTCATCCCTGACCCGGGGAAGGCATTCTACCCTTTTCCGAATCAAGACCATGGTCTCAGATTTAGAGGAGCTGATTCTCATCCCAGCTGCTTCACACTCGGCTGCAAAGCGCTCCAGCGAAAGCTAAAGATCACGTTCTGATGAAGCCAACAGGACCACATTATCAGCAAAAAGCAGAGACCTGATCCTCAGGCCACCAAACGGATGCCCTCCACACCTTGGCTGCACCTAGAAATCCTGTCCATAAAGGTTATGAACAGAATCGGTGACAAAGGGCAGCCTTGGCGGAGTCCAACTCTCACTGGGAACGAGCCAGACTTACTGCCAGCAATGCGGACCAAGCTCTGACACCGGTCATACAGGGACCTAACAGCCCCTATCAGAGGGCCTGGTACCCCATACTCCCGGAGTAACCCCCACAGGGCCCCCCAAGGGACACGGTCAAACGCCTTCTCCAAATCCACAAAACACATGTAGACTGGTTGGGCAAATTCCCACGCACCCTCCAGGATCCCCCTAAGGGTATAGAGCTGGTCCAGTGTTCCACAGTCAGGACGAAAACCACATTGCTCCTCCTGAATCTGAGGTTCAACAATCCGACGGACCCTCCTCTCCAGAACCCCTGAATAGACCTTACCAGGAAGGATCAGGAGTGTGATCCCCCTGTAGTTGGGACACACCCTGCAGTCCCCCTTTTTAAATAAGGGAACCACCACCCAGGTCTGCCAGTCCAGTGGGACTGCCCCCGATGTCCACGCGATATTGCAGAGCTGCGTCAGCCAACACAGCCCTACAACATCCAGAGCCTTAAGGAACTCCGGGCGGATCTCATCCACCCCTGGAGCCTTGCCACAGAGGAGCTTTTTAACCACCTCAGCGACATCAGCACCAGAGATTTGAGAGGCCAACCCAAAGTTTCCAGACTGTGCTTCCTCACTGGAAGACGTGTCGGTGGAATTGAGGAGGTCTTCGAAGTATTCTGGCCACCGATCCACAACGTCCTGAGTAGAGGTCAGCAGCACACTGCCCCCACTATAGATAGTGTTGGTAGTGCACTGCCCCCCCCCCCCCCCCCCCCCCCCCCCACCACACCTCTCAAGGTCTCACTGTCATTGCCCACATGAGCGTTAAAGTACCCCAGCAAAAAAAGGGAAAGTCAGCGGAAGGAGCGTTTTCCAGCCCCCCCCTCCAAGGTCTCCAAAAAGGGTGGGTAGTCTGAACTGTAGTTTGGTGCATAAGCACCAGCCAACTGTTTCCTAAGGATCTGAGAGCCCTGTTTAGTGTAAACTGAAAGGAGATCCAACATATACTTTTAGTCCCATGCCATTGAGGGATTTATAAAGTAGTAGAAGCACTTCGAAATCAATTCTGTAGATTTAAGAACAGGAGTGATGTGCTCGGTTCTCTTGGTTCTTATTTAGACTCTAGCAGCAGCATTCTGAATAAGCTGCAGTTGCTAAGAAAATTAATTTAATTTTCCTTTCATCATTGATGTTGATTATTGTAATGGTCTAAATATTGGGGTGAGTTAGGATTGTATTTCACAATTACAGTTGGTTCAGAAGATTAAAAATTAAGATTAAAGGTTCATAGTCATCACACACAGACTGGTGTGGTGAAAATTGTCCAATTGCTGACTGGCACTGACAGGTCTGACCACATCTCCTCGATGGTGGCTTTGCTTCACTTGGTTTCAGTCGTTTTTAGAATTTGTTTTAAGATTCTTGTGCTGATTTAAAAATCTGGATATGATTAGACATTAAAGGTTCAATTATTATAATATTTAGTTTTGGTTTTAAGATTAACTAATGTTTTGCAGCAACTTTATTGTTCTATAGGTCATTTGGTTTTGTTTAAACAGTTGGCTCTCTTCTTTGTTTTTAGCCAGTAAAGCTGTTTTTGAGCATCAGAAGTAATTTACACAGATTTTCTACTGCCTGTTTCATTTTTTCACCTTCAGTCCTCTTTTGGTCTTTTTTCTTTCACAAATGACATCTGAGATCTAAATTTTTACAGAAAACAGGAAGTCATGAAATACCTTTCTGGTTAAGGTTTTTGTGTTCATTTAAATGACAAAATGAGAAAACTGTGTCAGCACTGCATGAAAGTGGCCAATTATGGCTGTTTCATGGGGATTTTTTAAATCTTAAAGGCCACTTTTGGACACAGGTGTAAAGATGCAGACAATGCATCTCTTCCCCTCTATCTTCACCTTTTCTTCTCATTTTTGCTTATTTCCTGAATGACCACTGAAAGGTACAGATGCAATAAAGCAACTGTGAGTTTGTAAATCTGAAAGCAAACAACTCAGCCAAACACAGATATCAAACCTAGATTATCTTTTTTTTACAAGAAAAAAAAACCCCGCTAGTTGTTTTTAACTTGGGCTGCAAAGATGCGGAGGAAGAGTTGACGTGCTTGGCATGTGATTTGGTAGATGTTTAATAAAACCAGCAGCAGGAAGTTAAGTGCAAGATTTAGCCAAGAGAAGATGAGCGAGGATTAGATGGGATTCTGTAAACATAGCAAAACCTCTGAATACTTATTAGCGTAAGAGGATGGCAAATAGACGATACTTTTATGAAATCTAATCTCTTTAAAGGCTTCCGATTTAGCTGGTATCTCACTATGAGGATGTAAAAGCAGCTGAAACTTAATGCTGAGCCTTAAAATCATCTATATATGTGAAAACCTGCAGTTATAACATGATAATGAATCTACAAGATGACAAATTATTGTTGGGAAATGTATTGTGTAACAATGATAAGAAACTTGGGTTTCAATGAACTTGACTCACTCAATGCAAAAATGCAATGCAAAAACCTCTGAAATCAATGATTACTGATTCAGAAATCCTTAGTGCATCTAAAGTTTGGATGCCAAAAAGATGCATGTTTAGATTTGTAAAATGCAAAAAATAGAAAAATGTGTTGACCCATAATGCATGAAAAGAAAGGAAAAGCTAGCTGCACATCAACGAGTTTGATATTAGAGGCTTTAGCAGGGAAAAGGAGTAATTATGAGTTAAATAAGTGAGTCACAAAAGTTATTTTAATGCTACAAAAGATATTTCATACAGAATAAAACAGGATCAAGATTGCGCTTGAGTATCAGAATATGGCATCAGATTTCTGCAGCAACGTTAGGCTACATTTACCCATCAGATGAGCTCCAGATCCTTATTTACATCCGTGTGTTGCTCTGTGTGTACTTACAGTATGTGGGTGCTGTTGGGAATGTCGGAGGGAATGGTTTTGGCATTGTGTCCCAGATAAAAAGGATGGTTTGGTTCAGGGATCCTGGATCTTTGTCCACGTTTAGGGTCCATTTCAGAGCCAGGCTCAGATGCTGCAGCCACGTTCAGCAGCAGCGTGACCAGAATCATTCCTACCATCCTAACAGGCTGTCCAAAACTTTTCAAAAATCCTATTTTTCTTCTTCTCTTTTGCCCTTCTCAGAATTTTCAGCCCACGTGTGTGGGGCCTTTACTAGAATTAACACTCCAGTTTAATGGGAAAGCCTTGGCTAGATTGTTGGTCTACCGAATCCAGTACCAGGTTAGAGGAATCAGAAATGTGAGGCGTTTTAGAGTTTCCATCTAGATGTGGTCAATGGGGGGCGTGTGAAAAGTTTCAAGGGTGTATGAGGATGTAGGAGGTCTCTTCTTGACTTGTGTGTGTGTGTGTGTGTGTGTGTGCGCGCGCGTGCTGTCCACAGATCACCACTGCCAGGATTGAACAAATTGCCCTGATGCTCTTATCTGTCCACAAATGTTAGTTGCTCTGTTACTTTAAAAAGATTTACACCAGGAAGCAATTGGAGTTCAGTCCCTGAATTCAGTGAAATTGCACGATTTAGTCTCTTTTTGTTTCTTATCTGGACCACTGTTTCACCAACGCCCCCACATTTGCTCTTTAAAGCCTTGAATAAATGTTTTACAGAAAACTGATGTAAAGCAGCAAAAAAACAAACAAACAAAAACTAATAAATAAATAAATAAATGTTATTAACCATATCCATGCTTTCGTTCTTTTTTAAACACAGAAACAGTTTTGTTTACCTGTTTGTAGCTACGGTTTCGCCGACAGCTGCCGGCTTCTTCAGGCTGACGCTGATGGTGGCGCGTCACTTCCTTCTCCGTTTATCTGCGGGCAGCAGAGGACGTTGTCGCCCTCTACTGCCCGCTCTCCCCTCTCCGACGATGCAGTCCCATGCGTGGTCCAGCGTGTAAACTCCGTCATCCCTGTTCATGGTCCCACATCCACGTCTCCTTATCTCTATTGCTTCCTTGATCCATCTTTTGTATTTTTGTTGTTCGGTGGTTATGATCCGTGTTGCTGTCCCAGTCCATTATATGGTTTTCTCTTAAGCAATGATCTGTTACGGCTGACTTTTTTATTGTACTTTCTGCTTCTTCTTTTGCTGCTCTTGTGTGTTTACGATTTGCCTCTTTCTCGCACTCCGTTCTGTGTTCTATTGTCCGTGTGTTGAGTTGGCGTCCGGTTTCTCCTGTGTATGTTTTATTGCATATTTTGCATGGGATTTCGTAGATGACTCCACATTTTTGTCCAGCTGATATTTTGTCTTTTGGGTGTACTAATCTGTTTCTAACTGTTGTGTATGGCTTTGTTGGTGTGTTTATGTTGTGTTTTTTCATTGTTGCTCTTATTTTTTCCGTTATGCCTCTGATGTATGGTAGGGTTATCACTGGTTTTGGTTCTTGTCTTTCTGGGTTTCTGGTTCTTTTTTTGGGTTGTTCTTTGCTTTCTGTTTTTGTTTGTTGTTTTCCTTTGTTTATTGCCCATGTCGGGTATCTGCAGGTCTTTAAAGCGTGTTGTATGTGTTTGTCCTCTTGTTTACGGTCTCTCTCTTCTGTTATTATGTTTGCGCGGTGATATAATGTTCTGATTACTGACATTTTGTGTATGGTAGGGTGTTCTGATGTCCATAATAGATATTGGTCTGTGTGTGTTGGTTTCCTGTATGTGTTTATGTTTAGGGTCCCGTCGGTCTGCCTGGTGATTTTCATGTCCATAAATGCTATGCTGCCTTCTGTTTCTAACTCATAAGTGAATTTTATGTTGCCCGTGTCGTCAATATTGTTTAAGTGTTGTGTTAGTGTTTCTGTTTGACCTTTTGGTATGATTTCCAGTATGTCGTCTACGAAGCGTTTCCATAGTTTTATTTTGCAGTTTGGAGGGGCGGTGGCTATGGCTTTTTGTTCCAGGTCTTCCATGAAAAACTCGCACAGGGTGGCTGATAACGGGTTACCCATGGCGAAGCCTTCCAGTTGTTTGTATATTGTGTTGTCGTATGTGAAGTAAGTGGAGTTAGCTACCAGTCCTATCAGTTGTGCTATGTCATCTGCTGTGAGGTTTGTCCTTTTATGTAAAGTTTTGTCCTGTCTGATTCTGTTAACTACTATGTCTATGGTTTTTTGGGTTGGTGTTTTTGTGAACAGAGATGTGACGTCATGTGAGATGAGTATGTCGTTGTCTTCTATTGTAATTTCCTTTAGTTCTTTTGCCAATTCTATGCTATTTTCGCAGTGTTGGTCTGTATTTCCTAATAACGGGCTGATGATTCTGCTGATATCTTTTGCCATGTTGTATGTTGGTGTACCTATGCTGTCAACTATTGGTCTAAGTGGGGTGTTAAAAAAGAACGAAAGCATGGATTTACAAAGACACAGCAAGAACACACCTAAGATGTTATTAACCATATATGTTATGTAAAAGTTTGTATAATAAGGTTTATATTCAGGGAGAGTTGTTCCAACCTGAGATCAGTTTCTCACATTCACAGGGAGATCATGCAAACTTCTTAATAATAAAACTCCACATTTTATCCTGAAAACAGCAAATTAAACTGTTTTTCAATGAATATAGAGTATTTATGTATTATTAAAGGTACAACACAGAAATATGTTTCTGCTCTTCATAATACCAGAGCACACCACTAAAAAGTAGAAGTCATGCTGCTATTTCAGGAGCCTGATAGATATGAGAAGAAAAACATGTTTTATTTCAAAATCCATCAGAATTCACAATAACTTTTTCATTATTCTGCGTCAGTTTGTTTCATATTTCAATACAAAGTTGTTTTTAGATTGTTTAAAATTCATGATCGGACATTTGTGATTGATTCTGGATTTAACCTCTTGAGAGAACATAAACGTATCTGTTCAAGATAAATTTAAACATTTCTACACTGCCCGGCCAAATAAAAGTGATCACAAAAGTCACCCACTGATATTTTGTTGGACTGCCTTCAGCTTTTATTGCGACACACATTCGCTGTGGCTTTGTTTTGATAAGCTTCTCAAATGCCACCAGATTTATCTCCATCCAGTGTTGCATTACTGTTTCACCAAGATCTTGCATTGATGATGGTAGAGTCTGACCGCTGCACAAAGCTTCTCCAGCACATCCCAAAGATTGTCAATGGGGTTAAGGTCTGGACTCTGTGGTGGACAATCCATGTGTGAAAATGATGTCTCATGCTCCCTGAACCACTCTTTCACTATATGAGCCTGATGAATCCTGGTATTGCCATCTTGGAATATGCTCGTGCCATCAGGGAAGATGGAATAACCTGGTCATTCAGTATATTCTGGTAGTCAGCTGACCTCATTCTTGGAGCACATCCTGTTGCTGAACCTAGACCTGACCAACTGCAGCAAGCCCAGATCATAGCACTGCCCCCACAGGCTTGAACAGTAGGCACTAGGCATGATGGGTGCATCACTTCATCTGCCTCTCTTCTTACCCTGATGCACCATCACTCTGGAACAGGGTCCATCTGGACTCATCAGACCAGTTTTTGATCATGTGTTGGACGGTTCTTAACCCAGTTTGTCGTTTCTACAATCTCCTTAGAGATAATTTTAAAAACATGTCACCCTACTACCTAACTAGCTTGAAAGTAACTTCAAATGGTGTTTTTCTTTTTGGGACTCTGGTACTTTGTCCTAAAGTAGAAGTGGTAACAGCCGTCTGTTTCTCCTTCTCTGATATTATTGAGCGGAGCACTTTCACACCAGTGGTGTTCTGTTGCTAAATACACGAGTGTGTAATGAGTGGAGGACCCAGGGAAGTGCAGAAGGTCAACAGTTCGGTGAGACCGAATGGTGGCTTTTGGTCAAATACGTGTTATTGGAGGAGGGTTGAAGACAAATGTGAGAGAACCACTTAATTAATTAATTAGTTAATTAAAAAAAATTCTCAACTTAATGGAAGCCCGTTCCCACCACTTGGATACAAAACATATCATTATTATGAGATAGCTAAGTAATAATTATTAGTAATATTAACAATAAATAGTAATAATTATGAGATAATTTTATTTTTAAATTAGAGTGACAGCAATGGGGTTCCATACCGCAATACATTAATATCTAGACTATGTTAGAATGTTGTTAAGAAGCATGAAATTATGTTTTAAAGCCACTTGTTTTCCAAATTTGCAACAGCAGCTTTAAAAAAATCAAACCATATCTTTAATAATATTTAACTAAATTATCTGATAGCCTTTTACTTCTGTATATCAACTATGCAGCTTTTTGTTTATAACTGTAGTTAGCTACATTTCTTTCTTTTTTTCTGGAGATGAGAAAATAGAAAATAAAAGTATTTTTCTTTGTTATTGTTTCACTGTAAGGACTAAACGTAACTCTGTTTTGTCTCATTTATCATATTTTTGTTGAACGATGAACACGAGTTCAATAACAGAGGATGTATTTTTCTTTGCAACACGATAAAAACTTGCAGCCAGTTTTCAAGGATGCTCAGCATTATTCCCATTCCTGCAACACAAGAACACACATGCACGCACGCACACACACGCACGCACGCACGCACACACACACACACACACACACACACACACACACACACACACACACATGCACGCACGCACACACACACACGCACACACACACGCATGCACGCACACACACACACACACACACACATACACATGCACACACGCATGGACACACACACTAAGCAGCCATTGTTTTTTACATTTTACACTAATTTTGTCCCATTTGAATAAATTGCATTGATGTGTTTGTGTTGTACTGTGGGAACCAATCTTAAGGAAAGAAGACTGTGATTTATTCCGCAGTCAGAAGAAAAATGCAGCCTTGAGCTCCTGACATGACCATGCACACGTGCGCATGCACGCGCACGCGCACACACAGATGTATTATCCCATGATGACTTTGCTTACAAACACACACACTTGTGCACATGCAAACACGTGCGTGCGCACACACAAACTCACACACCAACACACAGATATATTATCGCACGATGACTTTGTTGACAAACACACACACTACATACATGCATGCATGTATGCACTAAGCACTAGGATGAACACTTCGAGTGCAGTAGCACGAGGAAGAGGAGATGAAAGATAAGGAAGTGTAACATCTGTGGAACATGTGTGTGTGTGTGTGTTTTGTTATGAATGTGCAGATGAATTTATCTCTGACTGCTCTACACCTGCACAAGGGAGGATAAAAACCCTGGCCAGTTGGCTCTGCCCCCTTTCCTCACCAAAACCAGCGAATTCTTAAAACTAGACCCAACTCTGCTAAATATTTTGACTGAAGAACAGGTGGTCAAGTTTCTAACTCTGAATGTGCCTCCCACCAGTATGCTGATAATCTGCATGTCAATGAGGGGAAAAAAGTCATTTAACACCTATTTATATCAGATATGGATGAACAGACAGCAGGGATTCAACATGTTGGCTATACATATTTGACACTGAATTATTGGGACTTTTGTAATGCATAATGTAAAAATGTTTGCAAGGAAATTATATCAAATATCACATCAGTCTCAATAGAAAATATAGAGGAATAAATCCATAAATAAAACCAGCTGTTCAGTTTTTCAATAACATTTAACCCTTTAGACCCTGTGCCCTTTGTAACAAGGAACATCCTGTTTACTTTTATAGCAGGGGTATCCAATTCCAGGCCTGGCGGTCTGGTATCTGGCAAATTTTAGTTTGAGTGGATTTCAATCAGCAGGTGATTAACAGGTGTCTGCAGAGCCTGATGAGCTGCTGCACAGGTGGTTTATGCTTGACGCATTCACTTTCCGCGCGGTGATGGGGCTCGGTGATGGGGCTCGCGGATGGAACGCGCTTCACAACTCGCAGCTTTTATGGTTCGTGCAGCTTGTCTCTGCCGTGAGCCAACATTCTCCCAAACTGAACGGGGCAGCATGGAGCTCTACGGCATGCATCCAACACTACACCATAGTAGAAGTAGAAATGACTGTTTACAACATGGCATTCCAGCATTTTTAACAGCGTTCTCGTCTTTTCCGACAGTGCGAGCTATTTCTCTCCAAGAATTATTAACTACATGTTGATCACGGTGATCTCTGAGAGCTGAATCATACAAATGTCTGTATTTACGAACCTCTGCCATACTAGTTCTTGCCGGTCCGCCATGTTTTTCCGCGTCCGTCCGTCCGTCCGTGTGGTTAGAAATTTTCCGAGGTGCGCGTTGCGGAAATTCTGGGCCGTGCTGAGGCGCGGTGGAGGGGCGTGGTTGTTAAAATGACGCAAAATGACGCAACTTTTCCGCGCGGAGCCGTGCGGACCTCGCGGACACGTCAAGCATAAACCAACCTTAAGTGTGTTGAATCAGGGAAAACCACTAAAACGTGCTGGATACCCGACCTAGGCTAGGGACTTAGGGTCTCTAATGACCTTCTGACTCACAGTGATGCAGGGGACTGTTCTGTTCTGGTCCTGCTGGACCTGACTGCAACCACTGTTGACCATCACCTGCTACTGGAGAGGCTAGGAGGCCTCCACTTCAGGCTGGCTTTTGCGTGACCTTCGGTTGATTTTTTTAACCAATTCTGTTTCCCCGAAATTGACTGATCACTTCTTTCTCATTCATTTTCATTTTCCCTTTTCTCATATTTTTTTTATCACACTTTTTACTTTCCTCATTTTAATGTATATTTTAATATTTTTAAAATTCTTTTTGATTTAAAAATTGTGTTTTTGTGAAGCACCTTTTTTCTCTTGAGAGGTGCTATATAAATTTTTTTTCCTTCTTCTTCTTCCTCTATTCTGGACATATTTTGGCACTAATCAGTGACATCACTCACTGCAGAAGCGGTCGTGATATGCTGATGTCTGTGCAAAGTCCTGAAAGGGCTGAATTTGTATGCGGACACAACAACTGAGAGAACCATCGAATCTCTCGGTTAATTTTTCCCCACCCAGAATTTACCCTGAAGTTCTGACAATGGAAACACGCCTAATTATCTGATCAGGAAGAGCGGGCCCGACCGTGCTGTGGACTAGACCCAGAACATTCTTTCTGTTCAGACTTGTATAGAAGTACATCAGATGTTGTTTGGTTTGCATTTTTCTGTGTGAAAGGATATCAAATCACGGGGGAAAAAAAACTAATTAGTGAAATTATTAACTGATTTGGGCCAGAAGAACTTAACTACAGGTCATTGCATTTACTCAGAGCCAAACACTGTTGGATCAGATCCTGTTAGTTTTAGCAAAACATCCCTCAAAACACTGGATGCTTTTTAATTGCATTCCCATAGTCTTCTTTGTAATGCGTCCAATGGATTTAAAACATCATCTGTAGCTGATCTAACCCCAGAAAACAGAAAACTGGCCAAAACTCAGTCGATTTGATGGATATGCAGCTGAAATTTCAGGAGTTAGCAGCCGAGCGTCACCCCTTCACAGACTGAAATTGAGTTCTAACCGATTGCCTGAGATCTTGCAATATTGCATGAGATTGCAAATAGTTTTGTATTAAAGATTTGACCAAAAAGTAACGTCATCATTTCTGAAAATAATTTGCAAATGGAACCTTGTGGTGGACCGACAACATGTCCGGGGTGTCCCCACCCCTCGCCTAGTGAATAACACCAGCTCTCTGCAAACATGGGCAAGAAGAGGCTGAAGATGAATGAATGAATTAACTAATCTTTATGGAATCCTTGGAGTTTAATTATCATTTTTAGTTTTGCTTTATTTTACTCATTGTTGCCTAAATTAAAGCACCAAGAAAACTTGAGCGGAGCTATGTATAAACGACTCTTAGCCTGGCTTAAAACACCTTTTGTTTCCAACCCTGCTGATTCTAGAAAATCAGAGAGGTTTAGACACGTGGGTGTATATGCTGTGAGTTTTCAGACCTTTTTCTTTACTCCATCACAGATGATTCAAAAGAGTTTTTAATCATCAACAGAAGATTCAAAAAGATTTCTGATCACTTTAATTAGAAGATGCTCAAAGCGTCAGAAAGAAAATGAGGATTTAACTCCTGAGCTATGCTTATCTATGAAGGTCTGGTCAATAAAACCTCACATTTCTTCTTTATTCAACCTCCAAATCAATTTTGTTGCAGCTGTCTGAAACAGTTTAGTATTTTCCCTGGAAATGAAGCAGGAGCATCTCTTTATCTTAGAGCTTGCAGGCTGGTCAAGGACAGCAAAGCAGCAGATGGCT